TACTTTTTGTTTGGACATGTCAAGCAGAGTCATTCGACGACCATCCATACACTTATAACCTTGGCGTTAAACATCGGTCGGTTAGCGTTTAGCTGAACTGTCTCAATTGATTGTTGGTCAATGCATGGTCAGAGCAATTGGTCCTGGATGTGGAAGACAGTGCTACGTGAAGCTTAAAATATTCGGTAGCATCTCCAGATTCAGGAAACGTCTCTATAGGCTGGGTTTAGTTAGTCATTATGGGTGGTTCTTCTCCAATTCTCATTGTTTCCAGATTTTCATGAACGCATTCCGGCATAGAAGCACAATATTCTTCGCTGTTTCCGGCATCGATATCGGGGAAAACTGCTCATTTCTTATGGTTCTGTGGACATCTACAAAGGCTCTGCATACCAGCAACAGCCAAGCTGTTGTCAGTTTCTTCCTGATGGTCATTGTTCGGTACGTTCATAATAATTTTTTTGATGAGCCATTCTTGAACTCAGTCTCTTATTGATAGTCTTTGTTCGGTAGGTTCATGATCAATGCTTCGAAGTTCTTCTTGATCTAAGATTTCGAGATCGGATCTTAGGCACTCTTGACATAATTTGCAACATCAAGTAGATGTGCGGGATTGCCATAACTAACATCCACTACGCCTAGTCGTAGCCGCTTGGCTTGCTCCCTTTTGTCATTCTTCATCTCATCAGTAAACTCATCATTCTCATCAACTGAGACCGCTCAGGTTCGAAGTGTGTATTGTTAACACGTGCAGTGTCATTCAGTAAACAAAAACGTTTGTTAACATTCCGCTTCGAATTCGGACACACGTCGAGGCATGGCGTGAAACTGCTGGTGGATGAGATGGCTTGGTGGAATGCTGCTCAGATGCCTTGAGGTTGCTGAGAAGTCAAATTTTAAGTACTCCTTGCTGCGGCGTCGTTCAGCAGAGAGGGACTTAACACATGATTGGGCTTTTTCAAGTCCAGGTACTAACCATGCATGAATGAAGAGAACCAAAGTCGCAATGTAAAGACCAGCTCGATCTTGCCCTGGATTGTGAACCGAGGACTCTGTCAAGATGCCGTTGCGTAGTCTGTTGGAATTGCTAGACTAACCTCCTCGATCCGACCTTCACATAAAGAGAAACTAAGGATATCACAATCTCTTCACGGCATCTGTCATCTCTGAGTAAGTGGACGACCACCGACTAGCAAGCCATGCCCAGAATTGCGCTGGCGTCAGCTCAGAGAATCTGCCCAATATCAATAGTAACTTCAACTCTAAAATGTGTATTTTGAGAGACTTACACTCCCGCATCAGGATGGGGGCATTTTCAGAAGGCCGCTCAGAGTGAAACCATGAAACGTTTACGTAAACCAGTTGTAGAAGTAACATGAATTGCACAGCTGATACGAAGGAAACTAGACCACCAGTCCAAGATTGAAATCGCTTTTAAGCTGGAATGCGATGTGAAACACATTGCTTCTTGTCTTCACAGGCATGGCAAATCTCTCAGATCGTACCGCACAATGAAGACCTCGTCGGCCCTCGAACTCAGTATTCTTGGACCGACAAGGATTCTAGGATTGACATAAATTCTACTATCTTAGTATCAATCCGAAGAATAATCCTGAACTCTGCGAGTGTCACTCGAGGATGAGAATGCAGACACCCACTGATAAACCAATTGTGAATTTCGATTCTGAGTGGATTTGTAGCTTAAACGTTTTCATCAAATGAGAACTGGGATCTGCTTCTCTCATGTGCAAAATTACTGTCCAGTTTCTCAAGCTGGAAGTCTACATTAGCTGGTAACATATGTCGGTGAAGGAATATGCAATATTATTACTCAACTTATAAGAATTGAATGTCCTTGTATGTTGTAGAACATGTTTTCTGGAGATTTTGTGTGTTCGGTAGTTACAGTGTATTATTACACATTTACAACAAATTTGAATTTGATGTGGTAGAACTAATTTATTTATGTCGGAGATGCTCTTGTAATCCAAGAGTTTATTAAGTCTAAATCTTTATCAAGCGAGTGTTCATATTCATCTACCATGCACGAACTTTAAGATGGGCTTGACACTAAGCTGTGTACACGTAAATGTGAAGTCGAAGACGAAGTCAGGCGTTCATCGAGTCTCAGAAGATCTACTCCATCAGAGTGTTCACCGCCGCCAGGAAGAGATTCCGAGAATAGGGATGAGATATAGATTGAGAAAAGAATCTGACGATTTTCAGAACAGAAACATTGAAGTCCAGCACGGTCTCACCTACGTGATCATGATCATCAGTCGTATACTTGTACTGTAATGACTCAAGCGTTGGAATATACCTCAGATGCAGTGCTGCAACAGCTGAGTATCTCTCGATGTACCTCATGTGTTCAGATCAAATCCAATCTATGAGTTAAGGAGTTCGAGTGCAGCCAGGCAATCTGATTGGTTCCCAACGGGCATCTAGATTTATAGAGCTCAATTGGTGGGCGGTAGCGTTGGTGAAAACATATTCTGACGACGAGGAGAGGTTGGATTGTGATTTTCCGGCACTTCACGATGCGTTTCCGTTCCATATTTGAATTGGCTAGAGGTGTACAAGATAAACCTGATAGATTAAAATTCTTCTGTAAAGTAATCTATACATAAAACATCTATTTTTGGCCATTACCTATATATATAGGTAATGGCACAGGGTGGGGTTTAGGTTTGAACCCTAAACTCTAAGTTTCGAATATCAAGAGTATATTTTTTGGCACTGATGATCAATTGTGAGTAATTTTAGATCTCGACCATGCATGATTTTTTTTCCCCATTAAAAAAAATTTACAAAACAAAAATTAACTGAGTTTTCAAACATTATAAGCATATCTAACTATATGAAGATTTTTCTTACATTTCCATTTTATCCAAGTTAATCTGATCATATAACTTGACTTATAACAATTATCATTGATACATTTTATCCTTGATAAGATATACCTCTATCAATTTTACTAAGTGTGGTATTTTTTTCTGCGTAGAAGTTAAAACTCATGTCATGATAAAAAAAACATCTAAAATTTATGAAATTTCTTTTGAAGGTTTATCATAAATATTACTAATTAAGCGTTATATGACTTTCTTGTCATATCATTAGGTTTTACATGTGAACAACGTTGTGATACAAGAAGTTGAATCTAAATTGCACTCAAATACATTTTAAATTTTCGTAAATTGCAATATTTTTAGGATTTTATTTTTTTAAAACCATGAATAAAAAAGGATCCTTTATTATATTAAAAAATATGATAATCTGAATCATTAAAACTAGAATTTAATAATCTTCCAAAAGTGAAAATGAGAAGTCTACGTTTCAAACATGTTAACCATGATGAATAATCATTACAAATGATTGATATGAAATTTTTAAATATATGTTATTAGTGAAAGTTTGTGACAAGTGTTTTTTTAAATTTTTTTCAAAATTAATATTTGAATCGTCAAATAAATTACCAAAATTTTATTAAAAATGTTATTGTTTTTTTGAAAATATTTTTTTTTGGAAGAAAATTGTTTAAAGGGGGGCTTGTTTGGGTATCGTGTGAGGACCGGCCATTTCCGGTCTTCGGACCTTGGGATCAAGAGAGTAATAGGCTTTTGTTTCTTTTGAAAATTAACATCGAATAATGCATTTTTTGGAAATATATTCTGTTCTATGATCTTGACACAATCTAACAAGTATTTCTATAAATGTAATAAAACGGGATTTTTTTAAAATCATTTGTTGAAATTTTTACAAATGGTCAGATGATATTGATAAAACATCATTTTCAAATTTTTAAAAATGTCAAGGAATTCAATCTTAAAATGGGAATATAGTTTCTTAAATTTTTTATAGATGAAAAAAATCGTTAAAGTATGCAAAATAATTAAATGCAATTTAGAATTTTGCAATGCAATAAATGTTATCTTCAAAAATTACAAAAGTGGACCTTTTCCAATTCATCTAAATTCTTCTTAACAATTTTTGGTTATTGACACCACACTTCTTACATTTCTAAGATATACACGTTATAATGAAACCATAATTCAAAGATTACTGCTAATCCACATAATTTGTAAAATTTTAATATCAACGCACTCTAGATGAAATAAGTTTTGTAAATTTTCCAAATTTTTTTTCTCTTTAGGTCAAAATATATATTTTTACCGTTTTAAAAATCAACTGTAATAGTTTGATTTGATAAATTTTTGAAGATATATTCAATATCAAATGCACTATCTTAACTTGAAGATTTTTGAAAAAATTAAGATTTTTTATTGAAAAGAATAAGTTGTAGTATAAATTTGACTGATTTTGAAACTTTTTTTTTTTTTGCTTAATAATAAATCGAATCAATGACAGATCAAATGGGATAGAAGAAGAATGTACTATAATTTTGTTGGTTTAAGAACTAACGCCCCGGCACATGGTCATAAGATTCACACATCCACTCCCACTTATTTATGCACAGAATTCATGAACAAGCGTCAGGTCAAAACATGAGTTTGAATAGTAAAAGAAAATGACAATATACTTGGTAATCTTTGTGTATAGATAAATTTGAGCTAAAAAAACTTTTCAACGCGAGAGTCAGATGGTTTGCTCATAAAAATTAATCGCGTGACTTTGTCAAAGTAGCTTGGTTTTTCTAAAGAGTACGATACTTGCTTGGCGGTATGCCATGTGATGTCCAATCATAGCATGCTGAATGAAGGACTTGTGAAGACTTGGAAACGCAGGTAAGCGAGGTAGCAGATATAAAGAATAGAAATTCAGTATCATAATCCAGGTGTGCAGTTTTAGTGCACCAGAGGCTTATAAGAAGAATGTCGAATAATTTATTCTCGAGAATCTACCACAGAATAACTGTACGTACGTTCGTGAATCTGACACCATCGAACCTTGTTCTTGTATCCAGCAGAAGACCCTCCAGTACAAAATGGTCCGATCCTCCATCCGGATCGTTCGAGACCTCTGGCTTTCTGCTCAAATTCATAAGCTAAAAGTTTTGTGCAGCAGAACGCGTTTTGCTGATCCTTCGGACGTTCATGCTGTTCTTGTGATTGGCAATCTGGATCCAATTTTAGCGGAAAAGGCCTGTGACGCATGAAAACGGAATCCCACCTTCACTCGCACCGCCATCGCTAAGCAGCAGAACTTTTCATGGCATTCCGCTTGTGTCAGTCGAGGTACGATTCTGAAGGGAACCACCAAGAAAAGTGATAATCTTGTACGATGTTCATGATCGGATCAAAAGCCCACGGAATTCAAGTTGCCGTAGGAAAGCGTCGTTGATTAAGAATCACATTGAAGTATGATTACCTTGCTAGCGAATTCTATCTGCTCTAAGCTTGTGCACATCTCGATCCGTTCTACGTTGAGTACAGCATGCAGTAAATCAATGTCAACGTGTGCAAGCCGGGGCAGATACGTGCGAAGAACAACTACTACGCAGCCCATTCGTCCATTGTCAAGATCTACGTCTCCAGCTCGAAATGCATAGAGTGACGGCACATGAGCGGGAGGCCATGGTCGTGGGTTCGTTTAGAAATGAGGTCATGGCAGGGCTTCTCACACTGCAACGAGGACCACCGAATCAGTGAGGTTGGAGGTGCTGCGTGCGGGCAGGAGGTAGTTACCAAGAGTCTTTCGGACATGCTAATGAGCAAGAGTGGTGACCTGATCGAGCTCAGCGGATTTAGGGTATACTTCATCCTTGACATCGAGATTTTTCCCTCGCACGAATTCTTCGTACAGTTTGCTACAAATAGTTCTACGACGCCCTGTTGCCACAAAACTGAAGTGGAAGAAATCGTAGTCGAAGAGTTTTTCATCAAGCTCTCCGAAAGCATGATATGCATTTCAATCGCACGGGAATTAATGACGCTAATGGCCCCAAGCAGTCCAAGGATTCTTCACGCAATCTACGGATTCTTCGCAAGATTCTCATGCGCGTCTCTTACATTTACGATCTTAATTAGGGAAAGATTCTGATGTTCGCTGACCCCGATGCCTCATGTACATAGCCGAGCCCCAAATTCTTCCACGAGGAAGGGAATGTTCTGCAAGATGGGGCCTGTACGTCGAGTCTAGTGATCCTAATGCCACCTTTCGGAACAGCACTTCAATAACAACGAACAGTAATCACATGCCTTCCTCATGAAGCCTACGAAATTGTGCGAGATAATTTGTAATGATAGTACAATCCGGCGAGTGAGTACAGTTCTGTGACGCTTTAGCACAGGCCTAATTATGGCCTAAGGCGGGGTACCACCAACCCGAACACAATTCACATGTTCTTGCTGCACTTCTCTTCGTACTTCTTCCGTTTATCCACATTCGAAAAAGTGGAGTGTCTTCAGATTTGTACACAAAGTGGTGACCCCATTCTCTGGGAGAAACGCAGAGGCTGTTTTCTGTTACGAAGTATGTGCAGGCACGAATTTAGTTTTACTTCCATCTCGCTCTCTGCAGAGAATCTATCAATCATCAATTAATCCCTGTACACGAAATTCAACTCATTTCAATTCAATCGGTTATCTATGTGTACTTGATAAAGTTGAGCCGAGTAGTTTGAGACGAAGATGATCCATCATGATACCGAGGTCTAAGTTAGAAGCATTTGATGCACCTGTATGATGTACCATGAAATGAAGACACTTTCGTTGCGCCCGATGGACGCTTGCAGGAAACACAGGGGACTTTGAAGACTTCATCTGCTGCTTGCTCCAGTGCATGCATATAGACGAGAAAAGATATACTGCGTAGAAATTTAATTTGGTTAAATTGAAATTAGTTTATGAAATAGGTGATATCAAATAGTAATTTTTTATGACGATATGATTTGTTGATATCATGTCGTCGAGTCGTGCATAGGGTTCATAGTAAGTGGTGTGCGGCAAAAAAAATACATGATATAGGGGGCTTCACACCTGCCTTGTAACTCGTGCGAAGATCCATTTAACTCAAGTTAAAATGATCGCGGTAAAGACTTACTGCGATTGTGGCACGACCTTACTGGGATTCAGAATAATACATATAAAAAATTAGACTGGATATATATACAAGAGATTTCCAAAGAATCCTAGTTCGAAGTCTTTGACAGTTGAATCAGAATGGATGGCTTCTGGTGACAATGATGAATAAATATGAAAATGGCTGCATTGTGAAACGTGGGCTTGTCTTCACCCTCGACTGAGCACAATGAAGTAACAAAAGTACGGGAAATTCATGAAATCAAATTTCCAACTCATAGATATGCCTCAACTGCATACTAATGGGAAAAAATTCCTACAATGCCTAAGATATTGACGCTATCAAGGTTTAAATGTTTATAATGTTGTAAAAAATCACAATCTAAATAATTATTGTAACTAATAAAAAAAGACATTGTGAAAAATTAATCGAATCATCGGGTAAATAATGTGAGACATCATATGATATAGTATTATAAGTTATAACATCAAAATAAGAGAAGTGAAAAAGTGAGCTTCACATGTGCCTTCATAAGAAATCTTTACTTATATAGTTGCATTGGCAACATGAATAATATAATTTTCTGGAATAATTTAATCTTTTACTTACAATTGAGAAGCAACACAAATTTTTTATGATCGTTCCAAAGAAATTGACCAAGTTTTATACTTACTAAAATATTCTCCTAAACATAAGTTTAATGCAAGCTTTACAAACAATCCATGCTTATGATATATCCATTTCAAAGTATTATCTTTTGTACTCCAAAATAACATCCATTGTTTAATCATTTGTTAAATTGAGATGATACAATTTTTTTATTTACTAGTGAATATTTAATTTAAATTTTTTATCTTGATTCAAATCAAGATAAAATATTCAAAAAAATAGGTGTTTTTAATACAGTGTCGATACAAAATCAAAAAGATTGAATATTACTAAAAGATGGACAATTGTACTGAGAGTAAATATAGAGGATGTCAAAAAATATAAGATAATCAATGTAATCTATTAATGGCAATCCAATTGATGAGCAAAGAATAAAACAGTGTCTCATGTTAAATGACGAAATTAAAAAAATATTTCTTTACTGTCATAATTCCAAAGATAAAGTAAGAAAATATATTAGTCATGAAATACATTCGAATGGTCAACATTTCAACCACAAGTTTCAAAGATAACAATGATGCCAATTGTGTACATCTAGCTAAGAATGGAATAAGTGGACTATCATGTATAGATAATAATGGCATCACCCTACACAAAATTCAAAAAAATAATTTCTCCGCATCCCAGAAATTTACCACACATCCAAAGATTCACAGTTTGACGATGTCATCAATGATATCCATGATCAATCCTATTGTGGCTATTTTATGAAGCATGACAACAACGTTGATAAAGTGAATATGTATTACAAAATCAAAAGAATCTCATGGCATCGGAGTTTCATTGAGGACAGTTATAGTCATATAATTATTAATCCTTCATTAAAAGAAACCAACAAACACTTCAATTCAGCTTATTCACTTGTAATTTTTTTTTGACAAGTTGGCTTATCTATTTCATCAATAAAAAATAATCTTTCGAACCATCTGATGTATTAATCATCAAGGAATCATGAGCTTAAAAGCGATATAGAAAAAAACTGAGTTTTAGCCTTGTGCGAACCGAACCTAAGGTAGACATGTGAACATTGAACTTAATGTTAAAGGATTAAAACATGAATGACATGCCAACTACTTTCATTGTTCAAATATGTTTGAAATAATAGTTTCATGCTTTTTGTCACAGTAAACATCGTTCATGCGATTGCAAATTTTATACATTGTGCAGTTTTGTTTTATGTCTTTCTATCATTTATTAAGAAGAAAGCTAGATATGACACATGGGAGGTTGTGTATCACGCACAACGCAAGACATTCACATGGGCAAAAATAAAGCTATAGATAACATGAGTAGTTTGATAGGTATACATGACATTTTATCTAATTGCTCTGACTTTCAAAAGCGAAATCCATAAGCGACCACCTCGCATGAAATGATAACTATGAAATTATGGATTTCACCTTATTCATAAGCTTTTTTTCACATTTTTATCAGTTTCCTAAACCCCAACACAACCAGTCCATGGAAAGAAAATTTAGGTTGAGAAAATAACCTCTACCAACAGCTCTAAAGTAAAGAAAGCCACACAGAACCCAACAATACAGCAAAGTCGTGAATACGTCACTATACCATTCTCAATACTACTCCATTTTGATATTAACAAACCCCAACTCGAAGAAATAAGAAAAACTGCCCTCCACTTTTCATATACCAAACTGTACCCCAGCAATATATGAAAACATATCTCATCTCCTAATTGGTTCGTCTGTCTCCCATCTTCCCCTGAGCTCCAATCTCCAATACAAGATCTGGTGAAATAACTCGCAACAGTAAGGCCCACCACATTCGAGATTACTGTATTCCTCGTGCCCAAGTCTGTATGCGATGACCATCGAAACCGGCGCCAATCAAACCACGAGGACGAAAATACTCGGAAAAGTCTCGTCTACGACAATTGTGTACATCCGTCTTTGCTAACAGATGACGTTGGCTATGAATAATAACAAAGATACGCATCCAAATGAAATTGGCTTAATCCAGTTGTATGTCTTAAATCCTAATAGATCCTAAACATACTATATGCAGATATCTGATTGGTCCATGCAGTTTATAGGGTTCGTGTATGAGTAACAATTACAGGGTGTTCAACCAATCAGAGACGAGCTTGCAGTAGGGTGAGAGCTACAATTACACGTCCGGACGGGCAAATGAAGTTAAGTAGGCGAGATTCGAGAGGTGCTCAAGTATACAACACCACATTTCTTACTGTGATTGATTCTTAAATTATTGGAGTCGGTCCCCACAAATGTTACAGAAATTGCTGCTTTGAGTTGCAAGGTTGCCCGGTCTCTATAGAAAACTGTAGTCAAGTGTTTTTTTTGGTCAGGGTTCTGTGAAATCTCTTTGTGTATGTTGTTCATCAAAGTAGCATGAATTTTGGTGCACAACAAACATAAAGTATCACATATTGAATCATTTTTTCTATGGTTCTAACACAAGTCGACCAACTTTTCTTCATTTGGATGTTGATTTGATACATTATTTTCATAAAAAAAATAGATTTTTCTTTTACAGGTTGATATGTACTTCCAGTCAGATTATTATATTTATTCTATCAAAATTCGTCTTAAGGAGAAAGCCACATGCAGTGATATGGATTCCAGATTGTATTGGTCATTGTATTGGTCATCACCCATGAGATATCTGTGCACGCTAGGATACACTAAAAAATGTGAGCCTTGATTCATAAATTTTGAATACACTGACTTTGTTGTACATGCTTGTAGTCTAGATAGTATAAAAATTCATCAAACTTTTGCCTAAAATGAATAAATTAAAATTGAAGCTATCCGAGTCTATCTAGACAAAATGAATACGCAAAGGATGTGTAATCGCTCAACTTATATGTCTCAAAATTGTTAGTTATTAATTAGACACGAGATGAATCCTTATACTTGGCCAGGCTCCCTTGGTGCAAAATGTGATAAAAAACTAAACTTTGCGTGAGGACATTTCAAATCAAACTTTACGCAATTGCTGCATCTATTCTCGAGGTCATGCGGAATATACCGCCGAATGAATGACAGTAATAGTTCGGACAGGAGTTGGAACCAAAGCCGTGCAAGGTCTCTCTGCGAGCCTGATATAAACACCGTAAAGTGTATGGAGGCCATACGTGGATATGTCAATTATTACAACTGAGCTGGCAAGAAAACGTCTGAGGAATAAGATTCATGTCCTTGATTTGTAGCGAAAGCAGGTCGTAAGCTTTATTATACACCCGAAGCTCTGAAACATGGTGTTGACCATCAGGTCAAAGATCCATGAAGCACTGGTTCCATGAGTACTATCAGCTGTATGGACTACCAGTCACCTTCTGCAGTGTAATCTGCCAGGATCCCTCTGTTGACTGCGGGTCGTGCGAGTTAATAATAGCGTGCATTGTTGTGTATCATTTCGAAGCAATCGAGGCAATCTGAAGGTCCGCCGGTCAATTTGACAAGTAGACATGGGGCGAAGCATGCTGCGTGGGCAGGCCACCTCGCCTTCCGCTTGCTTCTTGACATATTGTTCCACGGTAGCGTTTGGAAGTTACTGGGTCGCACATGTTGGCGACGTGCTGTGCTGCGATTGACCCGAACGAACCGAAATTCGTGCACGAGATGGAGAGTTTTCCTCGAATGTGGATTGAGACGACCGGCGTAGCGAGTCTCGCTTCACGCAATCTCGTTTCTGTGGAGTTGCTCGTCTCGACTGTGGGTGGGTTCCAGCCATTTTGATTGACTCGGGTTGAAATCCGCTGCTTCTGCCGTGGACTTTTCATCCCGCGTTAGAATTTGTCGAGTTTGATGAGGTTGAGTGATCTTGCGTCGGGGTCGGACGGAAGTCATCGAAGGACTTGCGGAATAGCGGAGGAGAACCGAGATGTTCTGATGCCAATTCCTCCACCTTCTCAGAGATGACGTTGTCCGTTATGTTGAAGAACTCTCTTCTGAAGGTCGGACGGACATTCAATTCGAACTGCGCAGAGTATCGGGAACTTCTGTGAAGCTGATGCTCCATCTTGATATCGTTGAGCCTCTCAGAATGATATCCAAATTCTGGAATAAAACGCTCTGTTTCATGAAGGTTTGGGTGAAGAACAATTAGGAGTCAGATGTAAATCGAATTAACACCGGAAATCAACATCCCATTGACCATTGGCAATATCAGATGAACCTATCCTATCTAAGATCGCCCTAGATGAAAAAACATGTTCACTTCCTGGAATTTCTAACTATCGGATCACGGTTGCGGCTCCAAATCCCCCGGCCTTCGATAACATACGATTTCCATCTGGAAAGTGAGTTTCAACCTGATTGGACTGGATGATCACTAATCAAACCAGAAGGTCATCTCTGTTCAATTCACCAATCGCAGCAAGCAGCAGAAAAGGCCCCGCCACTACGACTATGCACATTGACAACCTGCATGGCCAGGTGATCGGGCAGCTCTCTGCTGGGATTCCACTCGGAATGAACTTCTGTCAGCTGATCATGTACGTACCGGCCTGTCACGAATACTTTCAGTGGCTCACAAATCGGCTCCCATACTCTTCAGAGCAGAGCTGTATCCAACGAGCCATGACCCAGGAGAAAAAGGTACTGAATCCGGATTCCACGATCGACGACCAACACCTCCTCAGTCGTACGAAAGGAACCAAACGCAGCTGCGGTCAGGGTCGTGAATTCATTCTTCCGCACAGGTCCCTCCTCAATTCACAGCGCTGACACCATCTCCTTGTCATAACGGGATCGCCATCATCATCATCGAGCGAGTACAGGCGTCGACTCCACGACAATTCGAAGCAGACGCAAAGCGATGCCCCGCAAACCGCAGAACTCGCTCGTGGCGTGGACTGCGAATCACAGCGACCGGTCAGCACTGCACAAATTTGCGGTTTCCGGGAGAATAACGACTGGGCGTAGGTGACGCATTCTATTTCCGGCAGCCGGTGACTGATGCCGTTTTGACAAGAGGGATAGCCAGCGGGGGTGTCACTTGCGCGTCTCGGTAGAGGAGCGATGGACCTACGAGGTCGTGTAACGCCCGTCCAGCCTGTAATCGGAGGATGCCGCAAAGACTAGCACTTTGCCGCGTTCCTTTGAGCCTCGAAAGCGGCTCAAAGACGCTGCCGGCCGTGAACTTGAGATCCTCTTCTTTTGCTTCGCTGCCTGGCGGCTCGAGGCCTGAGAGCGCGCCCGCGGATGTGCCGGCGGGCGGGCGGCCAGCGGATGAGGACGACGGGCCGCGGGCGCAGGTCCCATACGAGGAGCACCGCCGACGCGAGGCTCGGTTAGTCGGCGAGGCGCGTCTCGCTGCCGATGCGATGGAGCCGCCGACGCAGTGCCGGTCCCAGCGCCGCTCGCGTGTGTTGCAGAATCGAGAGTCGTGAGACTCGGCCCCTGTGCATGGATTGTGCATGCTGCTGTGTACGGGAATTCGTTCGGCAAATTTCGGATCAAGAGTACGATTTTTTCTAATTCAGCGGGCCGCGATTTGCCTCCTGAGCTTCTTTCTGTCATGTTTTGCTATATTCTCGGCTGCGTTTCTTAATTTCGCGTCGTCGAGATTTGCTCCGTTGTAGAGTCCGCTTGTCAGAGTTCTGACTGGCAGATTCCGCATTCGGATAGCGCGATGCTGCTCTGAGGGCCTCCTTGATTGATTGCAGGACTCGTCTCTCGATCTTGGTCGTTGAGTTTGCAATTCCGGTGACGTGGACATATTCTCCTGGCGAATTGTGAAATTCTTTTTTCCGGTACATACCCGGACCTTGAATCACATGCGTTATGATTGGAGGTGACAATTGGTAGTACGATCGGACCTGAAGCTCGTCTGCATGGATTTGTGAATGGAGCAGTCAAAGTCTAGTTGATGCTTGCTTATATTGTCAAAGCCGGCTACTACACGTCACTTCACCGAGCTCTCCCGCTCCTCGAGCTGGGATCTCGTTTGCGCTCTGATCCCCGCCCTGCTCTCAGGTCCCGATCCCATCTCGTCGCACGTCGTCCCCCATTTCTCTTTAATAATGTAATTGCAGACTTGCATTCTTCGTTCACTCTGGGCTTCACACGTTGAACGGGTATGAGACAGCAGCTAGACAGCTCCGTGGTTTTTTGTCGACAGCACCCTCTACTTCATCGATGCGCTTTATGTGATGTCGACGCGAGTTCAAATTGAGATTAGAAGTGCTGCAGGCTCAATGATCTTGAATGGTTGAATTCTTCAGATGAGTGACCTCTCGTGCAATTGAAAACTTCCTTTCAGGAGGCATGTCGAGCGCTTCGTGCTTACGAACAAACAGTACTACAGTTACAGCTTGTTTGAATAGAGAGACCAACGGCTGTTTTGAAAATTTGTTACCTGGCGTTTCCTACAAAGCCAACTGTAGTTTTTAGAAGTGGCTCGTTCTTGTCAAAAACGGTGCTTTCCAAGCGCTATGCATGACGGAATCAAGTATCAAAGTTTCACACTCTTTCTTAATGAGTAGATTCTTTAGTAGGTCGAGAGAATCTAGACTTTCTGAGGAAAACAGCCAAAGATCGGATACTACTGGGGTATTCTGACAGCAATTGAGTTCGTACTCTTGCGATTGTTCATTTGTTGCGACTATACCTCAATCGTGACCAAACGAGGTATAAAGTATTGTCTATTCATCCATATTCATCCAATTGGGTATTCAAGGACTCTCTTTATTTTCCATGACAACACATCTGAAGGTAGCTGACCAATGTGCTCTGAATGGTTATACTGGTTCTGAATTGTTTCACTATGACAGCATTGGGCGACAGGTTAGATGTGCCTAGACGTCGGTTGTGAGTCGATTCGACAAATTACAGTCTTCGAGTTGTCATAGCGGATATTTTCTCTGTGAAACTCTTCATTTGACTATATTATTGATCCTCATGGACCATTTGAACTTGTGCACGTCTTCAAATGACAAACCAGAAGTCTTGTCCCTTGAAATCGTGTATTCAAATTTATTCTCATCTTTGGTCTTCATCTTTCGAGTTGATCATGCTTTACCTTATCTCTGTCTTCTGAGTGATCCTGGTGGGGAATGTGCTGTTGCGCAATGAAGATCAATGGCAAGCCTAAAGTCTTGTCTACTGACCGCTACACTGCTATTGAGAGATTCTTTTCATCCTTGATGCTCGTCTTTCAGGTTAAGCATGCTTCAGTTTAGATCTGCTTGTTCAACTTAGCATTCTACTCCCAAAGGTTTTGAACTTTCCTTGAAGACTTCAGTGAAAGTAGACGTCATCCGCGGGCGCGGTCTCGGGCGCCGAACCGGTTCCGCCCGACCGGCCGCCAGTCGGGCGATTTCGATTGATCTCTAGAGTTCACATCGTTTTGCTTCTCAGTTTTGTATCTTCTAGCTTCTCATCTTCAGACTTGACATGTTTTTCTTAGAGTTCTAACGTGGCTTCCTCTTGTTACGAGGTCTCTCTAATTGCACCAACGAGAAGAAAACTCATGTGTTTTCAATGTAATGGTACAGGAGAAGATGTTTGCACGATCTCGTGAAGCTGGCCGTTGTTGTATTCTCTAGTTGGTTTTGAGCTTCATCTTCCGAGCTCACCAACTTCCTGCTCCAATTTTTCCTATTGCTGGTTGTGGACTGGATTCTCAAAGTTCACCTTTCTACAAAAAAAAGTTTTCTTCTCGAAGAAGATATTCAGTTGGTCCCGTATTTTTGGACGTGGTGAGTTAGATATTACTTTTCTGGGCCCGAGTTTCCATTGTCTGGATTTGATGAACGATTAATTTCTAATTGCTTCTGTCCGAATGGAGAGCTTGAGCCCATTTTTTTTCTCAGTTCTCCTGAACTTAGCTGGTGGAGGAAAGTGCAGGATATGTAGATCCTATCTTATTTACATGTATGCGGAGTTCTTCTTATTCATACTGGATTCATTACTTGCCTTTCTCAGTTTTCACTAACTTATTCATAAACATTTCACTTCGCAGATCTTCTGTATAAACAGTGTTGGAATACGCAACCCATGCGACTCCATTGGTTGAGCCATACGTCGAGCACGTGTGCTCTGTCAAGCGTTGGAAGTAGCTTCACAATGAGGCTGTCCTATCACATTCAAGTTCCTCTCCAAACAATGGTTCCAACAATTTTGTCAGTCTCGTCCCCTAAGAAAGTAACAAAGCCTCCAGGCCGATTCTCCACTAGATCGGGCACACCAACTAGCTGGATTTTAGTTTTGACACTATTTGGAATTTTTAGCATGATAAAAGTTGTACGTGTTTGGCACCCAGATGATCTGCGTAACGATAATTCATTCACCATTCTTCCCACTACACGCCTCGGAACATACAGGTCAGTCATCGAGGAGGTTGTAAAGCCCTTTGGAACAAGTCGTTTAGGATCGAATTTGACCTTATCCAGTAAGCTTTTCTGGAGGGAGTCAGATGGAGTTAATTTTCATCCGTGTATAGAATTCAGCAGCACCTACACTACCATGTCTCCATCTCTCACAAGTACAAAAAGCAAGTACTTGATTGTGGTGGTGAATGGAGGCTTAAACCAGCAACGCAATCAGATAGTTGACTCCGTCATTATTGCCAGAATTCTGGGGGCAGCATTGGTGGTTCCAATTTTACAAGTCAATCAAATTTGGGAGGATAAGAGGTATGCATTTCCCAATGGATTCGCCTAACAAGCCTTTTGGTATGAGAGAATGTCTTTGCTGCCTTCGTCGTAAGTGTTCAAGGTGTCCATGCATTAGTTTCACATCGATAATATGGAAATATCCGGTGTGTTTCTGATATTTGGGAGAGACACCCAAACTTTCAATTATGCTTGATAGTAGGAAGATGATCATAACCTGGTCTCTGATTGCGGTGTGCTTCTGCCTTCGGTACAGACCGTAACCTTCACATGTATTTCTCGATATGATGCTCCTTGTGCAGTGAATTCTCTGATATCTTCGATGTAGCACACTTCAAGCGGACGTTGAAGGATGATGTTCGTATTGTCACGAATCTTCCATCGACTCTGATTATGTCTAAGCCCATAGAAATCAGAGACACTCCTTTTGATTCCAATCCAGAGTGGTTTCGTTCTCATTATGCTTCCAAGGTAAACGAATTGATTATCGTGTAGAAAATCGATGGAATGTACGATTCGATCGATCTACTATCAGTTTTGTTTCATTTTTGGCCTTTCTTTGATAGGTCTAGGCGAAGAAATTGATGGAAATACTTCCAATTGCTAAAGCATGGTGTGAGATTTGATATCGGTTCAGGAATCTAATTTCCTTCTTGATCAAGACTTTTAAAGTGCATATATCTTGCATATTATTTCATCTTCGTCCGTCCTTCTGAATAGTTAAAATGTTAGTCCTCTCGGTAAGAATTTCTCTTATTAGATCTGAATTTGAGCTGTAAGGAACATCACAACATCTAAATTTCTTGCTTCAACTTGTTTCTTGCACAGTTTCACAAAGGGAGTGTTCTGTTGCTGAGAAGTTTGGACTCCAGGTTGGCTAAAGATCTTCCTGGTGATCTTCAAAGACTCCGATGCAAGGTAAGTTTTGATCAATTATTATTCATCGAAGGTCTGAATTTCACTATGCCAGTGACTTCAGCAGGATGATCGACGTCCTCATATGATCTATGTTTCTTTCTCAAATTTTCACATACTACTCACAAGTTCTTTCATACTAATCTCTCAATTGACACCGTCAATTTCTTCAAACTTTGCTAGGTCGCATTCCATGCGCTTAGATTCTCAGCCCCAATTCAAGCTTTGGGCGAAAGACTTGCAGAGAGAATAGCCAAGCATGGTCCTTATGTTGCTCTCCACTTGAGACTGGAAAGGGATGTTTGGGTTCGAACAGGTTGTTCATCGGGGCTCGGTCCATCTTTTGAGGAAGAAATCGAGAAGGAAAGGATCCAAAAACCTCAATTTCTTACTACCCGTAACAACATGACCTCTACAGAACGGCGAAAGGCTGGTCAGTGCCCGTTGAACGCAGAGGAAGTGGGCAGGTGAATAAAAAACCGTTTTTCATTTGTGGACTTGCAAATAGGTTGAAGTCAAATAAATCTTGTCTAATATCTTACCTTCAAAGTCATCAAATAATATTGAAGCTGCAAATAGTTTGGAGCCAATGGAATCTTGTCTGAAATCTTATGTTCAAACGTACCAAAATAGAAATGAAGGCGTGTGTTCCAGCAGTTCTTCAGCGGCTACTGATGTATTTCTTAACCGTGTTTCTTGTCTACGATATTGGTCGTCAAAATAGACTTCTCAGAGCTCTTGGAGCTACAGACCGGACGATCATCTTTTGGGCCGGAGGAGAACCATTCGGTGGAGCAGAAGCACTCAAACCATTGGTTAATAAGTTTCCACTTCTATACAATAAGAATGATATTGCGTTACCAGGAGAGTTGAAAGAATTCGAGACAAGAAAATCTATGCTTGCTGCGATTGACTATCTAGTCTGCCTGAAGAGCGATTTGTTTATACCATCTCACGGAGGTAACATGGGCCGCGCTGTCAAGGTGAGGAGACATATCAAAAATTATTTGTAAGCTATCTTTAATGTGGAATCAGTCCATACTGTAGATTGGAACCAGATAATCTATTGTTAGATGACTCACTTAGGGATTACTTGTGTAAGCAATTCTCACATGGACATCTATTTGGTATGGCAGGGAAGCAGGATCTACGCTGGTTGGGGAAAAAATATAACGCCTAACAAGCGTCTCATGCTTAGAGTGCTTGATAACACAACTATCTCTAAAGAAGAAGCGGACCAGAGCATTGCAGACTTGCACACTGATCCCACACATCAGTTTGAAGAGTCCACGGGTAAGAAGGTTGTGGATGTTTTGTCCAATCCCATACCGGACTGCATGTGTCAAGTAAAGTCCACAAAAGAATGATCATTATTTCACTTGAAACGTCTGAGGTGCAACCTTAACCCAATTTTGTAGTTCGTAAGATTCCCGCCTATTATCGATCCTGTCAATACAACCTACGTGTACGAATGAAGACACGACGGAACAAGGTTTGCTCTGTACCTACCAAAGAAACTTTGTCCGCTTCAGAACCAAGACATTGTCATAGATTTAGAGTTCGAACACAACAATTATCTCAATATCCAGCTTAGCAGCAAATGAAGACCGAAAACGTTGATGTTTACCAATGTCGAAAGAAATACTGCTATACCACAGAGAGGAAGCAGGGAGTCATGATCTTAGGATAAGAGCTAGGAACCGAGGATTCATGAGGTGAGGAGAAGACGGACGGGTGACGAGATTGGAAGCGTGTTGAGTATTTGATAGATGTACAACATAGGTAGTCATTCACCTTCCAACGCCGAATTTCTACTCATCAATATTTTTGTTACTATATTATCCATATGTTTTCTCTCCTGTGGAACAACCTTCAGATAGTGCATCCCATACATCTTCAAATTGACCTACGAATTCGCTACAAATATTGGAATCAGCACAGAATGCAAGTTATCGATAATATACGAGTGATTGTGATTGGAGCTACTCCACATACGAAAATTTCTTTTTTGCAAAATTGTTTGGTTCCGTTAGCCAAATGTTGTGTAGAATCAACATTTCTGCAGGATCTAGCGGAGTAAGCATGTCAAATAGCGGACTATGTTGACTACATGGTATACATGACCTAATCATGGAGTGACTTCAGAGTTGTATAGGTTTGGTGTGGAAATGTGGCGCAAAGAATGGTTTGGATGTATTGAGTAAGCATGTTGACTCATATGGTACACATGATCTGATCATAAAGTGAGTTCGGAGTCTCGTTGGTTTGGTGTAGAAATGGGTAGGCAAATAATGGAAAGGATGTATTGGAGTATCCATGTCAAAGAGAGTGTTGACTCATAAGTTATACATGACATAATCATAGAGTGACTTTAGAGTCTTGCAGGTTTGTTACTGAATTGGTGCGGCAAAGAATAGAACGGTAGATGATGTCCATCACGTTAGGTAGAATGAGACACTCAATTTCCACTATCTAGCTCTCACATCGTGCAAACATGTAGGAAGGAAGCTAAAATCGTGAGAATCTTACTCAAATCTCAAGTTGGCTATGTTGTTGCATTGGTATTCCATTTTCTAAGGGGCACTGAATGATACAATATGGGAGATAATGATATCAAGTGATTGTGTTTGGACGCTGCTATGGAATGAAGAATTCAATCCCTTTTCTTTTTATCTCATAAGACTTGATATGATCTCTCTATTCTTTTGGTTATATACAAACATAATTTTTCAACTATCATGATGTGAAATACAGGATTCTGTTTTAAACATAAAAAATTCAAACCCCAAAGGCTACCAAATCTCCTTGGTATGATCCACTATTAACTTCTTATGCCATATTTAGGAAGTTTTACTTTGCTTGGGGCTGAATACCAGTAAATATGAATGCTCTTCACATCCACATAGATTAGATTGCCATTCGATCATGAGAGAATGTTGTAGCTTGATTGACTCAATCTCCAGTGATGATGCAATTGGTTCCGAAATCATATGTACGTTAAAAGAAGTAGTTCAAAACAATAGTCCAAGCGATGTCCAAGAGATTGGAATACCATAGTAGTGTGAAAAAGTTTGATTGATGAGTTCAATTATATATATCGTACCTTTGGGTAGTACTTGGTGAAATTGTTGAAATATCCATATGTGGGCAGAAGCTATCACAAAGAAAAGTACTATGTGAGTCTCGCAAACACGTTTTGTGATTAATACAAGACATTTAATCTCACCTAGAGGAGTGTAAGCATGCGTATGAGCAGTCTTATTCAAATATGACATTGAAGTTTGCTCGTGCCAATTTGTCATAAATAATATTTGCGGGATGTCATAAATAAAACTGAAAGTCCAAGTTGGCGTTCGTTCTTGTCTGTTGCTCTTGAGCGACGAACAAGAACAAGAACAAGAGTTGGCGGTCGCTTTTCAACAGCAGAAAAGCGACCGCCGTTGAGGAATTGTTGTTTTTGTCTCTTTTCCGTCATTGTTAAGATTGGAAATCCAAATCCGCACTTGCTCTGGTATGTTGCTAAAGAGTTGCTGATGTTCATTTTTTGTTGTTGTTGAAGAATTGTTTTCAATGAAATGTTGTCGAAGAAGCGTGAAACATCATTTAATCTAGCACATGAATGTATGGGTTGAAGATCTTGACGCAAAATCCGTCATCTTGTATCGTAACATCAATTTTGTGTTGTTTTTGCCAAGTATGGTGCTGTGAAGAAAAGGTCGAACAGAAGCACAATCCCGCTAGGACCACAAGGTAGTTTAAGGTTAAATCTTGACCAAAACTTTATTCACAACATCTCAAAAGCCAACACTTGGCAAAGTGGAATTAGTATTGTGCTTTGTCAATAGACGTCAAGCAAATTTTTTTTGATGCTATTGCTTTAATGAATACTATCCATGCTCATTTTGTTATATTAGATGATCAGTTGTGTTTTGATATCAAAGTAAACATTGTCGACATAATTTTATGCAAGCTTCTATTTAATCCGAAGCTAAGAATATTTCTATTGATTAAACGATGAGATTCTTTGAGCTAATCAAATTTTGATAATGTAATTATATGTTATCAAGTTCATATCAAAAACATTAAGCTTTTCAAATTTGTTATAGTTATGGTTGGTATTGGCTTGTCGTTCAGGTTAATACTGCTTCAAGTGAAATGTGCACGCAAACAACTTTGTATGGATTATTTTGGCAGATGCAATGAGTCAAAAGTATCATTGTTTGTTTAGATTGTTGCCGCCGTTTGACTTCAAAAACTTAGCAAAATACTCGTTGGTTGTTGGAACCTTTCTGTTGTGTTTGATTCATCAACTATTGAGAACACCTCGTACTTGACGTTTTAGTGTGATTTGTTATGGGCACCAGGTTGTATTGCTTCCATTTATGTTGTCTTTTTCTTTACGGACAGCATACTAGAGACAATTTGTCTGTCTTGGAGATATACAATCTTATCAACATTCTTTGATGGTGCTAGAATATGAAAGTACAAGTATGTGAAATAGTGACTAGTGTTTCCAGTCAAATTGAACAAGAAGTTTGCATTTTGATTTGATTATGTTGTGATGCACATGAACTCAATCTTGCGGTTAAAGATGTTATTTTTTAATATCTCAACAAAAAAATTTATTTGACGTTTTGAGCCCTTACGTACGTGTGTTGACAACAAAACTTGATCAATGAAATGAGATCTAAATGTCAAAAGGTTGCTTCGACTCGTAGATTATCGTTGGACAAAATGTTGACTTATTTTTCAATTCATCATTGCCATATTATTGAATACATAAATCATAAGAGTTTTTATTTCAAATTGACTGTCATGTAATGGATTACTTTATTTTCACTAATTCCAATCGTTCCAGATATTGACATTTTGTTCAAATTCTTGCAACATTCTATATTGCTAGTATCACAGTAAAAAGACGCATGTTCTAGATTCATCTCTATCTTCGGGACATCACAAGATTGCTAGATTCATTTTTCAAATTGCAATTCCAGAAATAAGATCAATGCATATGTTATTGTAACGATTATTACAAGATTTTCATTGACGTTGTTGTGCAATTTGTTCAAGGGTGTGTGTTGTTTATTGCAATATCATTTTATAGCTTGTCTGAAGCTGAGTTGTATGTTATGGTTTGTTCTATTGGAAACTTAATCGTTAATCTAGAAGCAATGATACATGCAATTGAGCCAAAAAAGTATGAAAACAATGCACTGGCAGCGTCTTTCTCCCATGTCTTCCTTGCAAATTTGTGAGCATGCTTGCATCAAGCTTCATGGATCTTATTATTATACTCAGATCTCAGCTTGAAAAGAAATTCATCAAAAAATACATTATCACTCTAGAACTAGAACAAAAGAATTGCAAACTTCTTATCAAAGAAAAGAAGTACTCTGACAAATATTGTGTCAAATGCTGAATTTCATGGTTTTACATTAAGCATGGAGTAGTTTTGAACCTTGATTTTCCAAACTTTGTAACGTTGTTGGAGGATTTGCTAGTGTATATCATAGTATTTCTACATGGTTAGTTGGGAGAAAGATGAATACAAATTGTACTTAATGGATCTATCACTCGAGATCATACTGTATTATAACCACTCCAAGGAAATTCAAGCAATTTTAAAATGTATAGTATTTTAAATTATATTATATTTGTCATAAAGAAAAATCCGCTGATGACATAATGGACTTATGATAGATTTGGCAATTGCCAAATAAGTAGAGTTTTGATTATGATGAATAATATCAATCAAGATGTGATCATTTCAATGTTTTGGCCCTTATCAATTCTATTATATTTTCCTTGTAAAAAGTTCTAAAACACTCAACTTAGTTTAGTTCAGATTGATCATTAAAAAAATAACATAATTCTAGTATATGATTACAAAATCTATTATTTTAAAGTCATTTACAATGTTATATAATCGATTTGGATAAATAATAACAATGATATATGGAAACAATCGACAAATCTTAATTTCAAAGTTTTCTTTCAAATGTATAATTGAAGTATTGTGCGTAAAGTTGAAGCATACGAGGGAATATATATTATAATTCACTTTACAGCTCCTTTCAACCTCGAAATAATGATTTGCTAGTACCCAAAGTATCATTGTTACTCAAAGCTCACGTCGAATTTCACTACATCAGTATCTGAACCTTCCTTATCTACGGCTAAATGCATTTCTTGATCTACAATATTAACTCTCTCGCGATTACGATATTGAAGGAGCTTGTCCGAGTATGCGCTCCAACGCAATGGATGTTAATGAGGCTGTAAACGGAATTACACGGCTAATCTTCTCATGTAAATGAGATTAGGGTTTTGGGTCAATAACGCACGTCATGTCGAGCAGTATGATCTCATACATGTCCGATGCGTGCTGAATCCTGATTTCTCACGTAGCAGTGCGCGACAGAGCGAACGAGCGTGCTGAATCCTGATTTTTCACGTAGCAGTGCGCGACAGAGCGAACGAGCGTGCGTACGCGAGGCAGAGCAAGAATCGAAGAGCTACACAGGTTAATTCAATTCGATCAGGGTTTCCAAGATGATCATACCAGTACGGTGTTTCACTTGCGGAAAGGTATGTGTTTTGATTGTGATTCTTTTCTAGTTTCAGGTTTCAGGATTTGTTTGTAATGTTTTCTCTGTAAAAATCAAATGGTTGTTCGAACAGAGTTCGTCGTGCGGGTACGCATGTTTGTGGTTTGTGACTTTAAGTTTCAATTTTAGTTTTCGAGGAGTAGGTAGCCGAGTTGCTACAGAGTATGCAGAGCTTAAGCAGCCTTGGCAGTCGCGTTTCTTGGTGTAGGTGATTGGCAACAAATGGGATACCTACTTGGATCTCCTCCAGGCTGATTACTCGGAAGGGTGAGGTTCTCCTAGATTTTCATCGTTGTGTACTCATTTGCGATGACCTCCTTGTGATTGCATACCGTATTCCATCAAATTTGTACTTTAGGTTATGCATTGAATTTTCCGTTTTCATTGTTTGTGCCCCGTATCCTCTGCCGCGAGCTGAATATTGTTTGGGCGAGTAGGCCAGATTTTTTGTTTTTCTTTGAGTTGGCTGAACCTGTTGCACGTTTCGCCGGGTTGCCTGAAATCTGGTGTAATTATGTTCCTTTCTTTGTTCAGAGATGCCTTGGATGCCCTGGGTTTAGTCCGGTACTGCTGTCGGCGCATGCTGATGACTCATGTGGACCTCATCGAGAAGCTTTTGAATTATAACAGTAAGTTCATGAAGTTGTGGGTATGCACGGCTGTTTCTGGATGAAGAATTTGATAGCTATGAGGTGGAAAGGCATGAGTAGAACTAGCGTGTTTTTGTCCCAAGAAGCCCCAAACTTTGAACTGACGTTGAGTTTTTGGTCCATCGACAGCTCTTGAGAGGAATGAAAGCAACCAGTGATGGTGTCACATTCTCAAAGTGTGAAAATCAACAGCCGAAACAACAGCAACAGTTTCCTGATCACGAGATGCGAAGAAGAAATGGTGTGGTAGGGTTGTACTGCCAAACGACAATATGAAGATCTGAGTCAGTTTTTGATACGTCATCTCGGTGAGACGGCGGTGCAGCGAAACAGATGGATTCAGAGAGCTAAATATGTTGAAGATTTTAGAGTCTGACGTGGTCTCGGCGGAGTCCACGATAATACTAGTTTATTTTGAAGTATGGAGCTAGTATTCTGTTTTAATGCCATATGCAGCCCTCACAAGTTTCATCCCGAGGTTTTGAAGGGAGGAAGCTTAGCCGGAGATATTTGGGCTGGACACCGTTAGGGTCACTTTCTGCAGCCTAAGAAGATTTTGTAGATGAGCTCTAAGTCATAAGGTGGATATAGTGTCGTCCTTGCTGTCACTTGCTTGACCACCTGCTTCTGAGTAAACCCTGGATGTCACAGTGCAATTCGTTCACCTTTTTTCAGTCACCCAGCGGTTTCGATTATATATCGAGTATACTTCTAACGTTTCAATCCAAGTCCAACTGAACCCTAGGGCGCAGGGTATCCACACTGACACAGACGATCAGATTGTGATGAACTTATTGTTTCGATGTACTGGTGCTGTTCAGCTGTGACTCGCTAGCTCTTCTGTGGAAGGAATTTGGATCCTTCTTCAGCCAAGTTCAACTCCCTTGTGAACATATGTTTGTTCTGTACCTATCGTACCTCCAAATGTCTCGATCAACTTCTTGAGCATCATTGATGCTGATGGCAGGCCACTCGTTTGTTGACATGAAAGTTTTTGGAGTGAGTGAGTTTCGTCTTGGTCCCATTGGACGTACTGTTGCACTCATTCAACATCTTAGCCGCCTCCTGGCCATTCAACAGCCAAGTTGGACATGTCTAGAACCCCTCATCAAACAACTATTCTAAAATGAACGAGCACAGAGGGAGATTTCTACTAGAATCGACTTTCGAAAACCCTCACACCACGGCTGGTCGATCGTAATTGACATTGGCTCTGGTCTTCGAGACTCTATGATACCTTCACTCTGGTTGTCTGTCTTTTCTCGAAACGGAAGATTTGTCTGTTTAGTACCGAAGGATTCTAATATCGACATTCTCGATCGAGTCGAGTGGTTGTCACCTAACAAGCCCAGCAGTCTCAAGCTTGCGTCTTGACAGGTGACCAAGAACACACGTGATCAACATTTTCCTCCGCAATTTAGACCCCTAACACGCAGGAGAAGACAAGGGACATCGAAAAATCGAAATCGAGCATTGACCTTGGATACAGTTCCTTTCAATCCGGTCTTATCGCGGGTCAAGGAGGCACTAGACGTGGGGCTTGTCAAAATAGACATGTGCGGGCTTACAGGCAAACGCGGTGCGCGTGCATTAATATGGCGATGGTGAATGTTCCATGAATACTATTGTATTCATGGCACATGGAGTGAAGCTTCCGTAAGCCATCCTCATGAACGCTGCTCTCGGGAACCAGGAGGTGAAGCAAGACGTACAAGCATTCATTGATGGAAAGCAGTGGATGGTGCGGCTTTAGTGTTGTCGGAGCACGACCAACTAAATAAGCGGAGCTCGGTCGTCCGAATCCCTGAAGTCCCGGAGAAGATACTCACAGTAACATTCGTGGCGATGGCTCGAAATTCCTCGTGAGGTTGGGCTCGTGAGTCTTCGCAGATTACAGAGAATCTGAAACAGGTCAAAATTAGGTCACTGAATCTTGCAGTTGACCAACCGATCGATTGCTGTTTGTTAGAGATGCGTCGCTTTATTGGAAAGCAATGCTCCCTGTGCTCAGTTGGTTATACCTTTCTATCTGTTGACTGTAGGTCGAGACATCTGTTGGTCGATAGATGTCGCGGGCTTTCCTTAAATCTCTTGTCAATTGCTCTGCAATCACAACCTCTCTCGTGGACGGCAGCCTCTGCTGTTTTGACGATCTTGGCTGTGATCAGGTTTTTCATAATGATCGAGAGTTGAGACGAAGGGCGGAGGACTCCCTCGTGTTCTGTCGTCTGACGCACTCGTCCATGCTTCTCGTGCTTAGTGCTACAACTCTGAGCCTGCCAGACTCCGAAGGTCTCTTAATTGGCAGAGCTTTCATGCTCGAGACCTCCTGTAGATTGGTAGATTTGACGCTCTGTAAATGTCCTCCCCGTTCTATTCCGAGCCGCACTCGTTGCCAGTGTAACTTACGTGGTTCACTTGAACTTGTATGTCACACTTGCAATGAGAGCAGCTACGACTAGGATTCGTCACCGTGACATGCTTCGACGATCGGTTCAAGGGATGTATGTGTCGATTGATCGGGCAACTGTCAAAGAGCGAATTTCTGAGTGTGGTGCTCGTTTTTCCATGAAGGGTGTGTGTCGAGAGGACCCGAGCTAGTGAGTCGAGATCGCATTGAGTTCTGTGAACACCGTCCTTGCTCCCGTCAGAACACTAAGACACTGTTCTCGACTGTGCTGTGATTTTCTCCGTTGGCTTTCTGTACGTACGAGCACAGCGCAAGTGCTCTGCACGACCGTCAGCGGCCCTGGTCACCAGAGTCCGAGGGCTCCTGTCTTCCGACTGTAAGCGGAACATGCAAGATGTGACATTAGGCACGAGATCTTGCGAACCGGCTCATCTGAAAATCGGACAGATTTGAGATTTGAGGTTTTGATTTGCATCACTCTCTAGACCTATGCAGTTGACCTACCGGTGGAAGGTGGGCACGATGATTCTCGGCAGTCGTCCCCATGATCCACCCCACGATTTTAAGAACCTGATACAACCATCTGACATAATTCTGCTTTTTCACCGTAGGAATGACCTTGCGTTGGTGCTACGAAGAAAAAAAACAGTAAACGAAAAGAAGACCGATGCACTTCCTAACCAGAAAGCAAAGCTACCACTAAATATTCGTGTTGAAGCCCCTGTGATGTTTCCTGGGCATGTCTGTTGCATCAAGACCTTTTGCCGAATTTGTATGTAACAAAACGAGCTACTTCTGCGGTTCTTACCCCCGCCATAGTCGGCTTACGATGCAGCCGAAGAGGCATCGCCCAAGCATTGAAGTTAATGGAGATAGTCCTGTTATCAGAGGACCATTTCCTGAAGTCTCCGGACTGAACTCGTTTTCTTATTCCACCAGACCTCTCTCTTGCTTCTGGGCTTCCTATACCCTTAAGCCTTCTCATTTTCAATTTCATTTCATCAAGCTGAAGTTGTTCTCAGAGCAGAGTGTGCTTTCATGGAGTCTCGAAGGCTTTGTCGGTGGAATAAGGACCAGTCCAGGCCTTCAACACGAGAAGATCACATGCTACATGCCGATGCCTGTAAGTAAACATTTGACCGAAGAGAGTCATATGGTGAGAATCGGGGACAAAGTAGAATTGTTATAGGAAACATGAGCTTCGTCTACGCTTATTCTACATGTTAGGTAGCAGAGGGGGATAATACTTATTCATTCACACAGACTCGTCGGCTGGCTTGCGCGCTGGCAGTTTATGACAGCGAAAGCACACAATCAACCGTCTGAGCTGCAGATTTCTTCCACGAAACAAAGGACGAAAATGTATTTTTCTATGAGAATAAACACAGACTTGTATTGATCATCGGCATCATGAGCATCTTCTGTCCTCCTGCCATAGATTTTACCGCTGAATCGTTTCTGGGTGTCAAGTTGGGCAGGACGGCAACATTCAGATGGCCTTCTGATCCCAAGGACTTACAACAATGTCGAATCCCTTACACTGCCATGTATACAGTACAGTACAATCATTTACTGTCAGTCTGGCTTCACAAGACCAAAAGATGTTACAGAAAATTTTCCAATCCGAAAACAAAATTTTCCTCGTCCTCGGTTTTCAGACATTCCGCAACATCAAAGAAAGTTTCACCAATTTCAAGGTTCAATGAAAGACTGATGCCGCTGATCAGACCCCAGATAAAATCCCTTACACTGCCATGTATATAGTACAGTACAATCATTTACTGTCAGTCTGGCTTCACAAGACTAAAAGATGTTACAGAAAATTTTCCAATCCGAAAACAAAATTTTCCTCGTCCTCGGTTTTCAGACATTCCGCAACATCAAAGAAAGTTTCACCAATTTCAAGGTTCAATGAAAGACTGATGCCGCTGATCAGACCCCAGATAAAACAACAGTGCGGTGAGCGTGGATCGAACACGCGACCTTCAGATCTTCAGTCTGACGCTCTCCCAACTGAGCTATCCCCGCTACATGGTTGTATTCTCAAATGTATTTACTTTATTATGCTAAAATTTATACCAAAGTGAGCCGCAAATTTGTCCAAAGACGTAACTACCTTATCACCATTCCACGTGATTATCCTTTACTATGCGATTCTAGAAGCATCACATACTTTTGACCACCAAACCCGACCAATTTTTGTTTTTCATTTCAAAAACTCGCGATACAAACCAATAAGTGTATATTGAGATTCCTTATATATGATTAATCTGATTCTAATTCTTTGCCAAAGATATCAGCTAACAAATCAGAAAAGTGCAAGTACATGGGTTTCTATCACACGAGAGTGAAGTGTTTCATAACTTAGCTAACACTCCTCCGATGTGGTTCCGGATGGACATGAACGCAACAGAAGATTTGCAACTGACCTAGAGTTCTAGAAATCAAATGCATTGATGCATTCAGGTTTAAATGGATCTAAAATCTACATAAACCTTGAAGTTTTATTTTCAAAGGGACAAACTTCAAAAATCGGATAAGTCAGTACTTAAGATTTCAGAGTGACTAATGTGAAATTTCAATTCAAAGATAATTCACTATATACATCACATGTAAATATAATTCACACAAATATTTTCAAAAAATGAAGATGATATTGAAGTTCATTTCTATGAACAAAACTGTCATTTTTATTACACTCATGATATTTCATACTGGTTTTTTTTCACAATTTTATGTATCTATAAATGTCTGTACTATGACTCCAGATAAACCAATAATATATTTTTATTTATTGAATTTTGATAATATTTATTAGATAAATTTAAAAAATATATATTATAAAATATAAAAATATTATTTAAATAATTAAAAATATTCGTCGAATAAAATTAATTTTATTATTTAGCTTGATATGAAAGTTCAAACTTAAAATTGTATCAAAAACTCAATTTTTAATGTGATTAGCAATGATTACATAGAACATTGAATGTATGTAATATGTGCACACTTATAAAAATTAACACTAATATATTCCATATTGAATTAATATGTTTTAAAATATGAAGAGTGGATGGTATTTTTTTTCAATTTTTTATGACTTAAAATTTTGATATTTTGATCTAATACTATCAAATAAAAAACTAATCTTAATTTATAAATCATAAACACATTATGAATCATGATTTTTATCTTATATGATTAAAGTAAAATGAGATAAAATGAAGAAAGATTTAAATTAAATGAAAAAATATTTTATTTTATTTTATTTTCTGAATTTTTTAACATATATATATATTAATTATGCAAAAAAATTGTTTGAAAAATCTAATACAAATCTTACTATGGAAATCCATTTTATTCAAGACATTGAAAAAGTTAATAAAAAAGATAATATGTTTTACACTAAAATATCACTCAAAAGATATTACTCATTTTGAAAATAAAACATTTAACGAATTTTATTCGTATGAACATTCTCAAAGGTACAAGTAGATAAAACATGATCGAAATATCCATTGAGCAATAATGTTGTGACCAAAAACACTAGATAGCACGCAAATTACCATGGGTTATTTTTAACGTACACACTTCATTGTCAAATAACAATGATAAACAGCTTGGAACTAAGATAATTATATTTATTTCATCGAAGCACAATGATTGTTAATAAATGTTCTTCGGCTATCATAGAAACATGAACTAAACGATCAAAATAAGTTAAAGCTTGAAGATAACTTTCATATTCAATTTACAAAGAATTCATATCAAATCAACCAAGTGCCATCTGTTTTCATCTTTAATAGCTATTATATCAGTAATAATTATTTAGTTGAAACTGGTTAAACATAATTGCTCATTTTTATTATACTTGTATTCATCTAATGAATAATCTTTGATGTGGCTTAATGTATTAAACAATTCTAAAAAATCTTAGTGGTAAAATTATCAATACAATGAAATTTATTGTCAATCTTCATTGATTAATCATTTTATAAACCCAACAATATTGATGTTTAAAATATGATTTACAATTCCATATATAATAAACAAAATATTAAATTGAAAAATTAAAATATTCTGCATCATTATTTTTGAAATACTTATCCAACCATACTGATTATTTTCATAAATTTTCTTTCATTTTCTAATTAATCACATTTTAATCTAAATGTACGCTTTTGCAATACAGATTTTTAACTTTTGCTTTCAATTTCAAATATAAACAGACACTCGTCATATATTTGGTTTGATTCAGATTTTGTCCACAATCACAATTGCATAGAAAATAAACAATCTGATAATTTATTATCAAATGAAAAGCAAAAATTACATATGTTTTTGGTACATCTGAAATTTTTAAAGAAATTTTTCTTAAAATTTGACATGAATATGAAAATTTTTCTCATAGAAAAAAAAATTTGAACATAATTCACATTATAAAAACATCAATATTTTTACTACCTTGTTTTTGGGGATCTTGAACATTATATTTAAAAAAAATAATCCATTAGACAAAGATCTTTGACAGTGAAAATATAATTTGACTTGCAAATTTTGATAATGCAAGTATTTATGCAAAATACTTGATTTGATTTAATCATGTCTTGCCATACTGATTTTTTTTTGAATATTTCAAGTCAAGCTCCAATATTTTATATGCTATAGAAATATATTTATCATAAACTACAAATTCAAGAGAGTTTGAATTTTTCAATTATCATATATAAATCAATCATATAGGAAAATGTGATTTGAATAAATTATTTGAGTAATGAAACGTAAATGTTTCACAAACGTATTTATAGAAAAATAATAATGAAAATAATAATTTTTTATTTCATAAATTATCAATGTTTTAGTTTAATTATCCAAAAATTTTCTTTATATATCAAAGTATTCTAAAAGATGGAGGCATATACTTTTTGATTTTGCTCTCAAAGTTATTCAATTGACTCATACAACAACTTTCATCTGAATCTTTCTGTGAAAAAATTGAAAATTAATTTCATTTCTTTTTTGATAGAAACATAAATGAATCAAAGTAATTACCTTTAAGAAAAATTATAATATATCTCTTATTATAATTCACCATATATTTATTGGTCGATCTTCTGATCACGAATGTTTTCTTGTATAGACATAATATTGAATCCATAATTTTATAATTTCATTCATAGATTAAATTATTACTTTTAATATTTTAAGACTTCAGCGATGTTTATATGATCTAGCCAAAAATAATCGAAACTTTTTGTGCATTATTGGAATCTATTCAAATCTAATTAATTTTTTTTTAAAGTTTATCAAATAGAACAGGTTTGAGTTTTCAATTATATGAATTATAAGATCAAATTCAAATAAACGTCATCAGAAGATATATCACCATTTTCAACTAGATTGATTTCAATCATCCGCCTTGTTCAGAAGCACTTATTGAACGTCTAAGCTTCTTACTTATGGTTGATGATTTTGTTTGATCTTCATAAAGCATGATTTGAGATTTGCAGATGTACTCATGTTCTTCAGCTGGAGTAGTTTATTGCAGGGTATCTTCTTCCTTCTATCTAATGATGATAATTATCTTCATCAATAGATCACCCACCGATATATAAACAAGATTTTTCATTGTCACTAAGAGGAGATGAAAGTTTTTCTCTCAAAATGAACGAGACCTATCTTGGATCTCGACGAAGTCGCCGAACGCAGTGATGTTACTGTTTAGCTTACATTTTACGCTGATACACCCAATGAATCAAGTCAAGATAATCCGAATGACTTCCAAGTTCTGACAACATTTTAGACCTTTTCCAGTGCTAGGGGTTTTCTTGGTTCATGTTAGGCTCAGGCACAAAAATTTCCAGTCCACATCATTCTCTTATCTCTCTCTGGATATTCTGCCTTCACACGGATCTCCACTGCCATATTTCGTCTTTCGATTCTTCTATTCTATTCCGCGGACTGCTTGGTTGATTGATCATATACTGACAAATTGAGTAGCACCTCGATTCGGCAAATACTGTTAGAGGATTAACAGTAAGTATCCTTCAATATATATATATATATATATATATATATATATTGATTGAAGGATACTTACTGTTAATCCTATGAAATATATATATATATATATCAACTTTTACTTTTCTAAAAGGATTATTTTGGTATCCGAAACAAATAGATTTCAGTACATATCAGATTACATGAACACATACAAGAGAATGTTGTATTTATGTTTAAACAGTTTTATATGAATTTTTATTCATAAATAAATTAAAATAAAACTAGTTGGAACATTAGAATATATACTCCAGCCAAGTGGTGCACTTTAGCCAAAGGTTACGAGAAATTGTGAAGTTAATATGGAATGATGTGGAGGGTTTCTACTCTGGATGTTTATTTGGTACTCACAAGCTATTTACACACCGGATGTATCAGCAAGATCCAAGCTATTTTGCTAAATTGGTTAATATAACCACCTTGGAAGTAGAAACCTAAGGGATTAATTGACTGATGACTTGGACCTCAAAAAAAGATTTAGTACTTTTAAGCTATGTATATATGATGGTTAATACTCCTTTCATACCTCTAACCTCATTCGTGTTACATGCACATGGATGGGTAAGGTTAGGGTTTTTAGCTTCCTATTGTAGCACTTGGTGCAACTAGTCTACTTTCCCAAAGGTGGGCCTTAAAGAGATGATAGGGAGTCCGATCATGTCAAAAAATAGAGGCAGAGTCTTGTTGGCCGAGTATTGCACTTTAGCCAAATGTTATCGAGCCATTGTGAGGGGCATATCGGGTGATGAGGAGGATTTGTACTCTAGATGGTCATTAAGTTTGAACGACTTATTGACAGCCCGGGTATATAGGCGAAATCCGATCTATCTTGATGAGCTGACTACCACAATCCACCTTGGAACAACATGAAGTAGAAACCAAAGGAAATGATGGACAGATAACTTGGACTTTAAGAAAAGATTTAGTCTTTGTCACTAGTGTATGTACGATGGTTCATACTCCTTTGAGACCCGTTAACTGTAGCTCAGTACATGTACATGCATCTCGAACAAAAGTTTAGGATTTTTGGCTTTCTATTGTAGTTTTAGCGTGGCGAGTCTACTTGCGCAAAGTGGGATCTTAAAGAGCAGAGAGAAAGAAGCCGTTTATGTCACAACACATAGTAGGATCTCATTAGCCAAGTGATGCACTGTAACCAAATTGAAAAATTGTACATTGAAAGTGATCGGAAACAACTTTTTCTACTAGAAAAATCCATGAATCAGACATTATAATTGATGAAAACCGTTTGAGTGGGTAGAATATATGTGCATATGATGCATGCTTAATCTACTTCAGATGTTTTAAGGTGCAATTCTTAAATTCTCCAAATCCCATCACTGAAGTGCTATTCCAGCATTTACAAGCATGCCAGAAAATTTATAATCAGAACCACCACACATGCTTCATAAAAAAAATGCATTCTCTATATGAATTCATTTGATCTGTTTCATTTGTGCAGACAAAAATTACCAACTTGTGATTAATATCGTTAGGGTTTTTGGCTGTCTGTTGTAGTTTTTTGTGAGTACAATTTATTTGCGCAAAGTGGAGATTAAAAAATGGAGAGAAAGTTTGATCACATCACACATAGATGAACCTCATTATCCAAGCAGCGCACTTTAAATAAACTGAAGAATTGAAAATCGGACATTGAAAGTGATCGGAAACAACTCTCGCTACCAGAAAAACCCATGAATTGGACATTGTTATTGATGAAAACCTTTTGAGCGGGTATAGGATATGTGCATATGATGCATGTTTGATCTCCTCCGAAGGTTTAGGTGTTTTGTGATGCAACTCCATGATTTTCCAAATCGCATCATTGAATTGCTACTCTAGCATTTACAAGCATGCAAGAGTATTTATAATCTGAACAACCACACATGCTTCATAAAAAAAATAATTCTCTATCTCAACTCATTTCATTTGCTTCAATTGCGCAGACAAAGATTACCAACTCGTGCTTGACATTGTTAGAATTTTTTGCTTTCTATTGTAAAACTTTGCAAGTCAAGTCTACTTGCGCAAAGTGGAGCCTTAACAAGCGAAGAAAAAGTCTAATTATGTCACAAAGCATAGCATAATCTCAATACCCAAGTGATTTATTTTAACCAAACTAAAGAATTGGACATAAAAAGTGATCGAGAACAAATCTATCTACCAGAAAACCCATGAATCAGACATTGTAATTGATGAAAACTGTTTGAGCGGGTACAGTATATGTGCATATGATGCATGCTTGATGTGCTCCAAAGGTAGAGATGTTTTGTGGTGCAACTCCTGGATTGTCCAAATTGCATCATTGAATTGCTACTCTACCATTTACAAGCATGCAAGAGTATTTACAATCTAAACAATCACACATGCTTCTTAGTAAAAAAAACATTTACTATCTCAACTCACTTGATTTTTTTTAATTGTGCAGAAAAAAATTACCAACTCGTGCTTGATATCATACGTAGAGCAAATTTCTAAAGTCTTGCAAGTTTGAATTGCATCAAACTTCTCATGTCCTCTTGGATATTTGCTAAAATCTCTTTGAGAAATTTTTTTTGTCATTGGGAGGGATTTTTGGAATGATGTGAAGGGTTTGTACTCAGGGTGGTTATTTGATTTGCACAAGGTCATTGTGAGGAATATCGGGTGATGTGGAATGTTCGTACTTTGAATGGTCATTTGGTCCTCACTACGTATTGACAGCCCGGGTGTATCGGCAAGATCCAACCTATCTAGCTGAGGTGGTTGACACAACTCACCTTGGAATAACAGGAAGGAGAAACCTAAGGGATTGATCTACGTATGATTTGGACTTTAAGAAAAAATTTATTACTTGTCACCCGTGTACCTACGATGTCTCATACTCGTCTTATACCTGTTAATTGTAAGTGAGTTGTGTTATACCTAGTTTTCAAAATTCTATATTTGGAAATTGATTGTTTCTTACACAAAATCATCCAAGGAAGTAAACTTGTGAATTTTCAAAATATCGATTTGAACCCTTATCGGCTTCTAACCATCATGTCTGTCATGAGCTGATTGTGAGAGTGTCATCGGCTTCATAGATTTGAACATTCAAACTGTATCCTGGTACTTGACAGTTGCTTATTTGTCCAACATACTTGACGAAGAAGAAGTACTAATTGAAGCACATAAGGTATATTTGGACACGAATCAGTCCAGTATTAGTTTTATTGGAATAATCAGGTGATGATCTTGAGAATGTTAATAAGATCTCTGGTTTTTGTTTTTTGAGACATTTGTGACTCATTACGTGTAAGTCATGAATTTTTATGACACAAGTCATTCATGCTTACATGCTTGGTTCATGGAACAAAGAGACAATTCACACAGCTGAAGCTTTCAACTGAAGCTTGATATAAAATAATTACACATTCAATGAGTCACAATCTTGCTGAAAAGTCCATAGTTCTGATAATGAAAGACACAATTAATCATCGCTTGAGGTAAACATTTTTCTTATGTATGCTTACATCAATTGTGCTTTAGATTTTAGTTTGTATCCTAGATCTGAACAATCACAGAAAATATCTTGGTATTAGCAACTTTTTTGTTATTTATACTTAAAGAGTGTGAAAAGAATTTCAAAAAACGTAAAATGATTGTTGGATGCAAAATTGATGCAATGTATAGATTAATTCAGCATTAGAGACTAAGTAGGAACGAAAAGACAAGATGCACCGTATTTATACATTCCACTTCCAGGAATCCGCATAACCATCATCAACAAACATGAGGCAAGTGGTCAAACTACAAGTGTCTACACGAGGCTTCCTGCTAGACGCATACTACCGCAAGTGAGATGGTATCGGATGATGGTACGTTCTCTTGTACTGCAGCTACGAGGTGTTGCTTAGAGCAAGAAATTGTGGATCTACTAGACAATTTTTCCACCGAATTATCTAATGGACTTAACCGCAAGCTTAGACTGTAGATAGGTGCACCTGTTTAAGTTTCAAATCTCGATCATGGAGAATGGAGTGGAGTCGGGTGTGGATCTAAGCATCGAGGAATTGAGGTGCGGCATTGGCGATCCCTCAGTAGCAGCTTCTACCGAGAAAGGGACATAATTCCTCGAACTGGGCGTAATACCCTATTTTCCGTCAGTGAAGAAATCGTTGAGATTTCCTTTTCTGGACAGCCGTAATTATTAGCAGAAATGTCACCTCCTGTCATACCCATTCCTGCAAAGAGGGTTCGAAAGTGTGTCAACAATAAGTAAATATTCTCAGAAGTACACGACCCCTTTTGAACTGTAATAATGCTTAGCTTGAAAAACACCTCAAATTCACCGAAAGCCAGATAGATCTCGAGCAGATGAAAGAAATTTGCATCTAATTCGTTGTATCACTGCTTGAGAAAGAACGAATGCAAACATGCGAGCCTCATGTTAGAATCGAGGTACATTGATCCTTGGTATCGAACAGTTGTGATAAGAGCAACAAGTATTCGGATGGTGGAATTTAGTCAAGCTTTGGTCAGATTGGGGAGGAAGCTTTGCAAAGGCTGCCTTCAGAAACATGTCCGTGGAACTCAACTTAGAAAATGCAAGTCGTGGCGTGGATGGAATAAGGAAAGAAATACGGCAGAAGATATTACAACTTGTTGAAATTGACCGCGGAATGTCCACAATCATTTCAAGTTCGTCACAGTCTGAACTAAAATGCTGTGCTTGCCGTGGACAGTCGTGAACCTCTCAAACAACACCGAATCCAGCGACTTTCGATTTTGGCGTATGCAGGAGCTAAGAAATGATATGTCATTGCCTCCAGCTTCCAGATTTTCTCATGTCCGTCAACATGACCGACGCTAATTTGGAGATCAAATCCTTTCAGACATTGAGGTGAGCCTGAGAATTGCTCGACTTCTACGGCCAGAGATCATCCTCCTCACTCAATCTCCAACTTGAAGCCACACAATCCACATGCAAACATTGAACAGACACATGCTCCGAATGCACTGCGTTCACATTTATATACAACTTCATGTACCAGTACACTCGACGGCAATCAACGATCTACACAATCTATGGGACCACAATGCACAGTGGACCGTAAAAGCTAACACCAGTTGACGGAAGCTTTATGCTCCAGTTGACGAGATCCACACCTTCTGAATGTACTATCAGCTGAAAGGAGACGGCATGAAAAGTGGAATCCACCGCAAGCTCCAATGATGATTTTAGTGATTGGAAAAGGAATTAAAGCGAGGATAATCAAGTGAGTTCTAACCTGAGGATTATTTTAGATGGGCTTTGAATACTTCTACTTCCGTATCGAGAATATGAATCTTTGAAATATAAAGTCCACTTTGAAGAACTCGAGGGATGCAGACAAGGTGCCAGAAATTCCTGTGACGAGGAGGATGTGATGATGCCGTAGACATTACTGACACAGGAGTGAAATGAAAATACATCAGAAGAATCCATCGATTCAATTCGCCTTCGCATTCGAATGGAGTCAACATTGAACATCGTTCCCAAATTTCAAAATCTTCCAAAGACTCTAGGCTTGAAAGGATACGTACGAGATTGACTGACCTGGTTCTCTGATTTCATAACTAAAAGTTTAATAAGGAATTGGAGAAAATCATTGCCCCACTCTAACGCTTTCGTAACCTTGCAAAAGACGATCACAGGACCCGTGAAGGACGAATATTATGCTAACCAAAAGCAATGACATATCGATGACCAGAAAATTGGTAAACATTGAGACGATGGCTGACAGTTGGACTCGTGAAAGTTAGTACTTGAACTGCTCGTTTCAGAGCCCTTAAGGTACACCTCTATCCCAGAATCAAACGTAAGTCAGGCGAGTAATTTGGAGACCTCAGAAAAGTGTGTGACAGACTCGAATGCAAGCAGGTGGATTCTTTTCATCGGCCTGGGATAAAGTAAGGGTATATAAGAAGGAAAAAGGTTCAACCTGATTAATGTTCTCTGAAGACGAAAGCATCATTTGGGCTCACAGAAGTGGTCCCTTTTTTCTTGACTTCTTCGTAGTACCTGTGCGCCAACAGACAAGTAGGAGCAAGTCTTTCACATCCTCTTTCAAAGTCTCCGTGTGCGTTTCTGAAGCCGAGGCAGATGGAAATTGCTTGGAACTAAAAGCTGTAGAAGTTAAACTGTGCTGGTATGAGTCGCACACAAGTCGTCAGTGAAAATACGTAAGCTGTAGAAAGACTTCTCGCTGATCGCATGTTGCGTTTACTGCGTGCTATATCTACTTAGCTCCTCGAGGCAAGTGTTCTGATCGATCGATCTGGTCAAGAAGGCTGCAATCCAAACTAAAGTTCTGCAGCCGATCTCCTTGGAACTGAAGAAGTCGACCATCGATCTCCTGCCTTGAGACAAGATCATCAAACCAACACCAATAAAACTCGTCAAAACTCGTTAGCAATGTGCACCACAAGCTAACTGCACCACTGAACTGTTCAATGAGAAGTTTATGAAGTCGCATAAGTCAATGCTTACGTATCAAAGCGAGAAGGATGACGTGATCAGTGTCTGAGAAAGAAACACCAGCAGGCCTCACGTAAACTCACTAGTTCTTACCTCCACGCTGGAGGAACTAGATCCTTTTGTCCGAACAACGACGTCAGGCCTGTCCATTATAAAAATCCGTGCCATGATGAACATGTATACTCTATCCACGTAACGCTTTGGAAGACACAGGTCACATTACTTTTACCTGAAACTTGTAGACTTCAACTGACAACCAAAGTACTGATATTCATGAGACCCTTAACCTGGAAAGTGACTATGTTTGTCTTCTTCTCTACGGAACATTGTAAACTTTGACTTATATCCTTCCTAAACCATGTCAGGTCCCACCCCAAAAAGCTGACATGTCACAATCTACTTCGGCTTGGACTGTCCGTTGGGATTATAAGAGTCAAACTAGGAATCTCGAAAAGATCTGATGTGCTAGAATCTATCCAATGTATAGAAGACAAGTGTCTCTGCTTTGACAATGGTATCTGGTGTCATAGTTGACTTCTGGCCTTATAGTCTTTTGAATCACTTCTGTCTTCGACTCAACTGTTTGGTAGATGAATCTTGGAAGAATTTATATAAAATATCAATCTTAATTTATTTTTGGCCGTGGATTTTTCTAGCCTATCCACGGTTCCAATGTGTTGAACTAAAAGGTCTCATCAATATCAATACTTTAATTGTAAATTTATTTCTAAAATTTCGATTCAAAATAATAGAACTATGTCTTCCAAACCGTTTCGTGAATAAAATATAATGTTTAAAATCCGAACTTCTTGATAGACTCTATTTGTATTCTAGACACTCCTTGTTTATACAATCTTGTGAGGTTACAAAACACCCAAAATCGAAACAAAGGTACACTCCTATATAACTCTCTTCCTCCACTACTTTCAGATAAGAGCGCTACTCTACACGATTCATCTGAGAGGTGAAGTGTTTAATGCACTTCTACCCCGGTCAAGTTTCTCTCGTAGACTGAAAAAATTGGTAAACGCAAGAATCAAACAGCGGGCTCGAAGCAACACCCTGAAACTTAGGCACGATGGCCTGAAACTGAACACAATTCTCCTCGAAATGTATCGATATGCTTCGCCTTAGAGGAGCTCTAATTTGCCGTCACCAATATAAAATGGCGGCATTCTTAGTTCTATCCTTGCAGCCTTGAGTGAAACAAGCTGTTATGTATTCTGATTCACAACAGCCTCGGCTGTCGACACTTTGGGCCACCGAGTTCATCCTTCACCCTAATCTCATGATGGTGACACCATCACCAGATTGAAGCAATACAGAAATATAACTACGAATAATCAAACAATCTGTACATGACTCAGGGTGAATCGACCCGCTAGGATGTCTGGGTCCGATTCATTTTCACAATGCGATCACCAGGAATGAATGAACTGTCAGTCTCACCGCCGGCATGCTTTTTCGAGTTACTGACAGGATGTGAGAGCAAGAGAATTTAAGCTATCGAAAATTTCCGGTTGTATTTCGCGGCTCTGGGCGACGAATGCTTCAAGGTGTGAACTGCATGCAAGCTGCACAACGGTGGGGGAAAAACCTCGAGCTTCTGTGGGCAGTCAGACAATCTAGCTCGCATGAGAGGAGTCATCGAATATCGATCATATCACGCACGCACGCACGCACGCACTCACTCGCCTCACTCACTCTCAGAGACTCTGAACCCGTGCACGAGCTCTCGAGCCTCAGTATCAAAACAATAAAAATCAGAGAAAACGAGCACGACCAGAAGCTCTTGGACACACGCGTTAGAAGCATTAGCACACAAGCACATTTGAAGGCAAAGGTTACCATCCGCAGAGATTGCAGACATCTCTGATAGGGCATGCACGTGCATGCCGATCACCATGACCATCACCACAGGCTGCGAACCTCCCTCGGGGAGAATACCGCTCCTGCAATCCTCCAAAGCATTCCCAACTGCGCAGACATTCATTGCCCACGGAGCGCTCGCTTGCGCCATCGAGCCGGTCGCCCTCCCTCCCGTCAAAAAAATTAAAATCAAACCAACGAATGCGTTGCTTAGGCCAGAGACGATTCCCCTGCTGAAAGCTCCTCAATCTTACGAGCGGAAGTATGCGCGACGACAATCAATCCTGGTAAGGTTGAAGAGCCTCCGGCAGGGGAAGTGATTCCGGGTTACACAACTGCCCCACTGAATCATTCGCGCGAGAACTAGTACTCATCATCCCCCGAATCATTCACGCGCGAGCTCACGCAATCGACGCAGCGATGGAACGACCGATGGAGCGAGCGATGGAGGTCGAGGTCGAGGAGGACGAGGGGGAGGAGGGGTCGGAGGAGCCAGCCAGCGCGGAGCGCAGGAAACTCGGCGGGCGACTGACCTAAACGGAGGGGGTCCACCAGGCGCTAAGGCGCAGCTTTCCATCGCGGGCAAAAGGTTAGAGCACAGGAACGGTATCGGGAAGTATATTCCGGGGATCCCTGCGAGCCAATCCGGGGGGCTTTCTAGCCCGCAGCCAATTTTAGCGGCTTTCCCCGTCAGGGATTCCATTCTCGAAACCGCCCATCTGTCGGGACACCCGCTCGAGAGGGATCTCGGGGAATCTGCTCCCGAATCTCGGCCCCCTTGCTTTTTCGCGGTTGAACGGATCCTGTCGCCCCTCTCGACGAGCCATCATGCGCCCTCTCGATCGCGTTTGCTCTGCTCTGCTCGCTTCAATTCAGCTCAGCTCAGCTCAGATCAGCTCAGCTCAGCTCCTCGCGTCACAGCTCGCCCAGCTCTGCTCGGTCTCACATGGCTGCCACTGGAATATCGCGTGGATCTTCCACGAGGATTTCGGTTTCACGATCGGCTCGACATTTGACAGTTCCGAGGTGCCGGGGAGAATCTCGTCCCTTGGAATTTGTCGATTGGTGCGAAAGCATTTCACCCCATGAATGGCGTCCGCAGAGGCCACCAACATTATCTTACCTTCCTAAGAGGACAAAGCTCTAATGGAGCCAGGAGAAACTCCGGCCGGAATCCATACAAATATCTGCGAGATGAGTCAGACATGGTGCTGCTTGCCTGCCTGCCTGCCTGCAGGCCGGCCGGCCATTCACCCAATTCACCCCTTTCACCCAATCTCGAGCCTATTCCTAGAGCCTGCTTTACCAGACTTACCAGCATCGGCACTGTCCATCGTCCAGTTGCTTGAATGCATGCAGATTCAGATGATTTGTCAGAGTTTCGCTTGTGGGGTCATCAATCCATCGATTGTGCTCTCGTCCGATGGGGACCCAGAACTGATGAATACCTGAGCTAATAAACTGTCGCAGTGTGACGAGTCCGTGCATGTTCGGATGTCACTGAAAGTACCTTGCGATCAATTTAGGCCTCTTCCTCTCACTCGACTCTTCTAGAAACATTGCGGTTTTATCTATTCCTCGTGCATGATCCTTTTCCAGACTCTGTTTGCTTAAGCGAGCACGAGGCCCCCATTCCCACAAGCTGCACCTTTGTTTCGGCCGGTGAGAGTTCATTTACTTTTTCATGAAAAGTTCAGATCTGCACGTGGTCTATACGTGGTCTATACATTCAGAAGGTAGAGGTATCTGTTCCTGTCTGCCCGCCATCTGATAATCTGCTCATAAATGAATGTCACTTCCCTAAAGCTCATAGATCCAACCATCGTTGGATCTATAAGCTTTTTTGTCATACTCTAATCATAACCAAAAGCTCCAGACTCTTGTGCTGATCAATGAGGAACTCTCAGAAGAATGTCTGAAGTATAAAATACAAAGGACCTGCTTCTGTGTTTCTGCATACGGGAGCCACTGGATGATGATGTGTGGCACTCGAGTATCCTGTGAGTTCTTCTGGTGATAATCGATTTCAAACCTGGAATGCGCCAAGTAATTTCCGAAGAAAATGAAGCAGGGAATACGTAGAGGATCCAGGATTTTGTATGCTTATCGGTGTGCTGCCGTAGAGCGCTTATTCTTTCTCCCTAATGTAATAATGCAGAGTTCAAAGTTCCGTGGCTCGAAATTGGATATATATCGTCCTTGAACTTGCATAATGCCATCTGAAATATGTGCTCTCTCGACCCTTGTCTCTCATTTAGGATTAGACTGTCATCAGCTGACCAATGAGATGTCAGTCACAGAGCCACTGACTGAGCTTTTAATGGTATTTCAGCAAAAATCCTGTTCCATTGCAGTTTCACAGCTCCTAGAGGTTCTCAGCTTTCTCGACAAAATGGTATGAAGTTACAAGATAATCTTCAGGTTTTTTGCACATACAGCAAGCCCGAGCCGATCGAGTGTGGTGTATCTGTACCATAATTTATTGGCAATGATCTTATGAATTACTCCCTGCATTATATTTGGGTTGATTCATATTAAGTCTCTAAGTTTGGTTTAAACCCGTCCTCCGCACTTAGTCTGGTTCTAGATGCAAATTTCGCTGTAAATTTAAGTACGGTTAGTTCATGGCTTTTGCATCTATGACATGCCCATAAACTCCTTCACAATGTCAACCATGACATTTCGACTTTCTCTCACGCTTGTTCATTTCAAGATGGCATTGTCACGTCTACAAAATACTTCTTTGTTCCTTTTGAGTAACCAATGTCAAAAAAACCAACACTTTGCTTCAACGTGTTTACACAGATAAGGAAACTGACCTGGACTCTAGATTTCATATCAAAGCAAGAGACCAATTTATGAATCCTCTCATAACATTAGGCTAATGCTTATCACCAGATCGAGGTGCAATCATGCCTGCGGAAAACGATGTGTTTGCAGTGCTCAATATTTCCCACATCCTGAAACATCAGTGGTCTCAAATCTCTCAGCTGTTGTCGCTGTTCAATGTTCAAACTCGCAGAAGGTAACTTTTGGATTTTAATATCAATTTAATCGGGACAGAGCTAGAATATATGTACGTTTCCGGACATGCCGTTTAATGCTGAGAATGTTAGATAGAAATAAACATCCTATTAGTGCATATTGAACTAAACGTTTGACAAATTTTCTTCGGACATCCATCTATAGTCAAAGATCGCTAGATCTGGACAGGAAATCAACGACGCTAAACAACCAGTGAGATCGAGCAAAGAATTCACTTGTACTTAGGAAAACGTTGTGACGCATGTACGTGCTGAATCTATCTATCTATCTCTAGCCAGAATGACTGATCGAGAGCTGAGCATGACAGTGACATTTCACCCTCTGAACACTTTTCAACATAACTGAGACATGCACATCTACGCAGTTAAGCGGAAATTTTAAAGCATGGTGAGATAGTGTCATATTCCCTGAGAATTTGAGGCAGTAAGAAATTATCCGTAAAGATGACTGCAGTGTCGAGAATGGATCTCTCAGGCCCAAGAAAGTGGCCAAAAGCTTTGATCTGCCAGAGAAAATCAGCAATAAGTAAAAGCCGAAACCTGTCATAAGAATCATCCTGAAGCCTACAATCTCCAACGCCAGACTTTCTGTAGCAGTATTGTGCACACAATTATTGTACTAATGCTCCTAGTGAAGTCTCCACGTCACGATCAGCTGAAAAATATAAATACACGAGAAGACATTCAACTAGTATCGAGCTCGTTGGAGTTCATAGTTACAGACCGGGGATTTTGTGACGAAAGATCAGGCTTTGTTAACTTCACGCCCTCAGTACAGGAGCCCACGGCGTGAGAAAAAGCTCGGTATTGATAATTGACAGAGAATCCAAAAGGCATAGATCGACCCTCCAATATGTCACATCTGCCACATGTAGAAGTAAGTCAGCTGTGAGCGTGTCTTCATGTGCCAGTCTGCATCTAGATGAGGTGCTCACCTGAGGCCGGTTGACGTCAATTTCATCGTGATGAGAAGCCAATCTTAGATTCTGAAAAGCAAATGACAAAAAAGTATAGATCGAGAATAAGAATTACACATTGCGAAACGGCAGGAATAAAAGGAGGCATCTAGCACAAAAGTCCCTGCCTAGAAGGTAGCAATCAAGTTCACTGCTCTCTAGTGTTAGCTACAGCTCAGAATTCAGAGACAATGTAGGACACAATATAAGTCGTTCTACTAAAAGAATGAGGGTACACATGACGTACATAATCTTGGTACGATTTGTTGCCTCATCAGAAGTCTCAATGTCGTGTCACAGTCACACCTTTACCTCCCGAGGTTCAGTCAGAAGTCAAAAATTCAGCGATTTCAGTACGAATTAAGGCTTGGTAATCATTACTCAGCTCTAAATATATATTAGATGGTTTTCTTCTCCACTTATCAGAATTAGGAAATCTAAAAGTGCAAATCGAATTGATCGAATCTGGACAAATAATGATTATATAGTGTGCGTTGAATAAATACTACGATAATATTTCCACTCTTGAGTATATGGTAAACATCACATTGGCATCTAACCATGAACATTTGGAACTTATGATACCGTAGGTCAGTTTTTGTGAAACAAAAATTAGAATCAATAGAGTCCTACCTTTGTCAGGGTTTGACACTTATCACTGAATCCCGGTCGGCATAACCTACGTACCTCTCCGCCTCGAGGAAGCCATTGAACTTTCTGTAAACAGGTTCGGAGTGTTTTGACACACATCGTGCTTGCAGTCATTCCAGACGGTATCTTTCGAAAACCTTGTGGAAGCATGGTTCTCGCAATCCGACTTCAGTAGAGGTCGTCTTACATGTCCAGGAACTGGATATCGAGAGTGCATGTGCTGAAGTAGGGTAACGAAACAAGCTGCTTCTTGGATGAAGGGAAGATTTTCTTCCAGCTCAAACGAGATGATCTCAAGGCCAGGAGTACGGACTGCGTAAATCAGTCTGATAGTTCTTTTGCATCACCTAAAGCTATTTCGAGTTACTTATTGATCTCAATCATGAAATATGGTATACTAACCTGTACAGGACTAATTGAGTTGAAAATAATAGACGCTTCCTTTACTCGATAAGTGACACGCAATGTCAACATAAGTACAATATAAAACGATGAGGCACCCAGAGCGTATGTTTGCCGATGTCATACAGGTAAGTAATACTGTAGTCACTGAAGCTCTAGATCAGAAAGATGTCTGCCATAGGAGATAACGTTTGTCTTATCTACATCGTACGCTCGCTGTAGAGTTTGAAAAGGGCATTACGTGTTCGATTATGCCAAATTTCCAGGCTAAAAGTTCTGTAGTGATGTATGCCTGCGTGAAAGCCGGAAATACCGTAAAGGGAATGCAAACAAAAACTCTCAAAATTGATTAACAAGGACACACATGATTCATGTGAGATGATGCATAATGACTTTCATATTCTTATCGTTCCAGATTATTATTGCTGTCGAATCAAGCATCGTCAATCGCTTATTCTATGGCCAGTGGAATTAGTGTCATATTGTGATGATTGGTGGGGAAAGGACAAGACAGAAGCGCCAGATCTGAGTACTTGAGGTTTAATAATGTAAGGAATTTGAGAAGGAATGAGCCTTTTCGAATGTTGCTCACATGCTTAACAGTCTGCGTGCAACAATCGAGGAGCATGCCACTCCAGAAGAATCTGCCTTTTTCATTTAAGTGCACTGCAACAGGGCGAAGTTCAGTTTAGGATTACGGTGGAGTTTAGGAGATTTAGTGTTTAGGAGTTTAGGAGATTACGGTGGTCATGACGTTCTGATATAAGAGGACGAGGCCTTCGTCTGCAGCTAAGAAAGAACTCAGCGCACTTGGATTTCAACCAATCCCACTTCTACTTAATCTTCTCAGTTAAAACCTCATGCTCTGAGTAACAACAGCACTAAGTTACGCTACAAATGTCAATGAAAAGCTTTTGAGCGATTGATTGCCAGCTGGTGGAAATGAGCTCAAATCAGTGAGGTTTGAAATGACCAGACTTTCGATCCCAGTGATCATGCATGCAATCCAATTTAAACACACCACTAAAACACAGAAACTCTTGAAACATTCATCTCAATTATAGATTGATGAAAATTATGGCCCTACATAGCTTTGCGCATTTAGACTGCTACTTCAAGTTCACACCAATTGCGGGACCCACTCGGGCACTTGAAACGCGTCAACGCCCTGTACAATACGAAAATAAGCAGTCCTCGGTCCGCAGTGGATGAGGAATGCTTTCCTGCAGTTTTGGAGAGAAGGTCAACCATCGAGCTCAGATACGTTCTCCCAGCCAAATTAGACAGTTGATACCGCGAGAATCTCTGAAGATGCTGGGCTGAAAGTGGGGGATGTCCTTGAGCACACACGGGACACGAGAAAGCACCACACTGATTTTGGATTAGCCGGAGCTTTGGCGACCACTTCCAAACGGGAGCGAGACAATGGTTCACTAACTGATTTGGAGCTGTGTACCATGCGCCTCCGTCTCTCTTCCCTCCAGTCTTAAGATCTAAATATGGCTAGGCTGACAAGGTACGATAAAAAAGGGCAGGAGCCTTCCCTTATTCTTCGCCTGGCATCCTTCCACCCAATCAGACACATTCGTTGCCCGCCATTCAAAAGCATGTCTCTATGAAGTCCAGGCACTCGCAGATGCTCAGCAGCTTGATGACGAGATCAGCTGGCGAGCGAGCGCAGAACTGTGTATTCAGCAGTCGTCACCTACATCAACTTGTGCCCATTTTTCACCACCTGCTTTCATGAATTCGAAGCAACCACAAGGAGGTCAGTAAATCCTTGACGTGTCTCGGGGAAAGAAAATTGCTCCAATGTTTTAGAACAGACTCTGGATTCTATGAGACTTGGGCTTGAGGGGTTTATCCAAGGTTTATCCTTCCAATAATTTCCCCTCTTGTGGTCCTGCGTGCATACATTGTGCGCCGTACAAAGGGATAATGACGAGGCACATATGATGCAAAGAAGAACCGAAATATGATTTCTGGTGAGGCAGAAGATGATCATACATGCGAAATGGTCGGATGTGTGAAGCACTTTTTCACATGCGAGAATCCAGCAGCTAGTCCTCTACCGGTGGTATCCAAAACGATTCTGACCACGACATGGAGGGCGAGGACCAGATGCTCATGAGATACAGATAGCCCGAAAGAAAGATAAGCCCCGAGGAGAATATCAGTTGACCCAGAATTTGCGGGTTCTTATATGTTCAAAACCAGCTCAGGAATGGGCACCATGCGAGCATTGGGAGCTGCGGATCCGATGGCTGAAAAGCCATCGGATCCGCAGCTCCTACAGTTCCCACATTGTGTGGTATATCCTTTTGGATATGCTACTTGATTCCATGCTACTAGGCTGGCAAATCGGCTGCAAGCTCGTTCCAAATTTTCCTGGCCTGATCTCTGGGCCCAAGAAACGTCCCCGGAGCTGTCCAACATGTATCGTCATCGATATGGGGGCCGCACTATACGAGCTCAGCACGTGGCTCATCATTTGTCCATATAACTGAAGTCGGTAAGCTGAGAATATCAGTGTCCACGGATCCGTCCCTCCCTTCCTTGCAGAGAGCGATCGGACAGATCCGTACTTCACAATTAAAAGGTATCTTCCAAAGGTTTGAACTCTGACAAGGCCCAGGCCAATCACTCTTCGGGAGAGGACGTATCGGTGGCGTAAGATTGTCAACAGATGGTCTAGACTTACCTGAATCTCACCTCGTTGCTCAAAGCATTCGAGGTTTATTTTCACCGCCTCGAAACTGACCGGCGGTGTGTGTCAACATGGCGGTGCTGGACCAATACTTGTGGCTCGTGGTAGTAGGAGCCATTGTGGCGTTTGGGTTTGGTTGGGGTACTGGAGCTAATGACGTTGCCAATGCTTTCGGTACATCTGTCGGAAGCAAAACTCTCACGCTTCGGCAGGCAGTTATTGTGAGTAGACACCTCTCACCTTTCCTGATAGTCCCTCTGCAATGCAACCGCCTCTGGCTCCGAGTCCCTTGCAGCTGTAAGCAAGAATGCCAATGTCAGAGGTTTTATGGAGATAACAAATATTCGCGCTCTGAACATCAATGTCTATTGTATCTCTATATTTAGAGATCTCTCTTGAATTGTAGCTGACTTAGTTCAGAAAGGACCTCCGAGCAGTGTTTTCTCATCTCTGATCCGGGTTTTTAGTGGTAAAGGGAATGTTCTATATTTATCTAACATCTGGGGCCATGGATGCAGATTGCGTCCATCTTTGAGTTCGCAGGTGCTTTGCTGCTAGGGCGTGTTTCGACAAACACTATTGCCTCGGGTATAGCAAATATCTCATCATTCAGCAGAGATCCTGAAGTTTATGCCTATGGAATGGTCTGCGCCCTTGGAGTCAGCACGGTCTGGTTGATCCTCACTTCTTACTGGGGCTTGAATGTGTCGTCTACCCACTCAATCAGTAAGTAACGAGTCAGCTGTAGAATTCAGCATTTTGTCTTCTCACTCCACTCTCGTCGAGAAAATTAATTAAGTCAGAAGGTGTGATCCGCCAGCCTGTTCGAGGTGGAACACATTCATGAACATCAGACTATTTATCGAGCAGCACAATTTGGTCATTTGAGTAGAATATTGAATGCTGTTTGACGGAGAGAGTTGCTCATTCTCGCTCATTCTTGTGTATACAGTCGGTGGAATCATCGGATTTGCTTTAGTTTGGGAAGGCAAAGACGCGATCGTGTGGGCCGAGAGGGACCCAGGCAGCTTTCCGCCTTACAAGGGAGTGATCGCCATCGTCTTGTCTTGGTTCGTATCTCCAGTACTGAGTGGGTTCACGGCAGCCCTCATCTTCTTCATCGTTCGGACCCTCGTACTCCGCAGGCGCAATGCCTACATTCTGGCTTTCTGGACTCTGCCACCATTCGTCCTCATCACCACCTTCATCAACATGTACTTCGTCTTCACTAAGGTTCGTTCTCATACATCATCTCAAGTCTCGTAGTCGTTCGTCTGTGATCGTGTGCAGAAGAGCAAGTGATGAACACTCTACTTATGCTTCACGGGTTAATCATAATTCTTCATCCTGAATTTCGATTCTTATTTAACCTGTGCTACAATGCGCAGGGTGCCAAGAAGACTCTCTCCAAGAGCAGCGACTGGACCGATGCCAAAGCCGCCTGGATTGCAGCTATCATGGCTGTAGGTGTCACATTGACGTGCATTTTCGTCGCTCTGCCCCTCCTCAAGAAGATGGCCGGCCGACACTTTGATGCGTGAGTACTCCTCTTTGAAGCCGACAGCAGAATCCTTTCATACAGACTATCGAGTTGATTTTATACACATAATCTCATCCAGGAGCTTGTTGTGCCAGAAAACCTTCGAGTCTGCAATATATTTCCAGATTCTGTACAGATGCGTACTAAATGTTTTCGTCCTCCAATTGAACCTTCGTGTCGTATTCAATCTCCTTCCTGCAGTGATGGAAACCGCATACTCCCCGACGTTCCACTTCAGCGCAATGATTCCACCAAAGCAACCGAGCTCAGCACCTGGCAGAAAATCGGGAAAGCTGCAACTCACGGTATGGATGTGGACATCCACATCGTGGTGAAGACCGATGAGAAGATCGGAGACATGCACGAGGCAGCAGAGCGGTTCGAGCCCAGAGTGGAGTACGCTTTCAGCTACCTGCAAGTGTTCTCTGCAATCTGTGTCATCTTTGCTCATGGTGCCGGTGAGGTCGGATACATGGCAGGTCCCTTGGCAACGATATGGGATGTGTATCAGAAGGGCCAACTCTCCAAGAGTGTCACTCCTCCTGTATGGATCGTGCTCCTCGGTGCCATTGGTCTCGTTATCGGGTTGGCCACTTACGGATACAATGTCACGCAAGCCATGGGTGTCAAGCTCGCCAAGCTCACTCCCACAAGAGGATTCGCTGCAGAGCTCGCCACGGCCTTCGTGATCATGATCGCCTCGCAGTATGGTCTGCCCACATCCTCCAGCCAATGCATCACCGGAGCTATCATCGGTGTCGGGCTTCTGGAGGGAGCCAAAGGAGTGAACTGGACGCAGTTCTTGAAGCAGTTTGCCTCGTGGGTGTCCACTCTCCTGGTCATCGGACTGGCTGTGGCTGCCGTGTTCTCGCAGGGTATCTACGCCCCGAGCAAAATTCAAGGCAAGGAGGTGACTATGTATGAAGATCGCGTCACCAACCTCACCACCCAAGTCTACCAAGACTTCAACATCAGCCTCCAGAGCTTCAAGGCCAACAGCGACGCCTTGGCTCTCGCCAATCTCACACCCGCCACTTGGGACCAGCTGAACGCCACTGTCAATGATGCTTACATCAAAGCCAAGAATTTGGTGAACCCCAAGAAATCTCAGACCAGTAAGTGTCATCCTTCTCTGGAGTTCACCACTCCATCTACTTACTTTCATGAGTTTGAAGTCCGACTGTAATCTGACGGAGCATTGGAATTTGGTCGGTGCAGCTGACGCAGATCAAATCTTGGGATCTTTGTACAAATCACTGGCTCTCGTTCAGAACTACACAGTTTTTACACTGGGACAGAGCTCCGTGTATCCGGGTGCTCAAATCTGCATGGACCCGGCGGCTTCCAACACTACAAACTTCGCCTGTGAAGCACCCAAGCTACTCCCCAAAGCCTTAGCTTGATCAGATCATTTCACGCTCACACATTCACATTCACATTCAGCGAACATTTAGGACACGGCCCTCCGCCGTTGATTCCTCACCAATTTGAGATTCTCATCAGAAACAAATTGCGTCGGATCTTATCGAAGGAAACATCAGTAAGCTTTCACCGGCACATGACAGTACAGTACACAACAGTTGACATCTCTGAACCAGCTGCAGCTGCAGCTGCAGGTTGGAATTCTTGTGGAAGGAGCCACAAGACCCCCGACTATCTGTCAGCACTTGTGTCGACTGCGGGGCAATTTGTGAACCCCCTTCCGATACAGACCCGAAGCTCGATGGTCGACGTCGAGTTTATTCTGAACTAAATTGGTGTACACAGGCTACGAGCTCTTGATCAGCATACGAAGAGTGGAATGGACAGTGGACATCGACAAGAGAACTGGTTCTTCAAGCCTGAGAGGACTACGATTTTCTACCAGTCGAATTCCGTCTTATCTAACCTTCAGCATTTGTGCACGCCCTGTATGAGATTCAGTTCTCTCAGTGATTAATACCCTTCCGGTATAGCCAAACATCATAGGATTTAATTGAAGTGGGAATATTTGTCAACTCCCACCAGAGAATAGAAGTAGAATCAATTCTTTTCACCACGGGCCCACTAGCAATCTTGTACATTGCCCAGAAATAACGGATTATACACATGTACACTTGTGCTCGAAAGAAAATATTAATTATTTTGAATAAAACTCCTTCAAGTCCAAACTGAACTATGGCACTCCTCCTGCACATTCTATGCAATGCGTGAGTGTTCGATGTCAATGTCTTAAAATGCCTTCTGCTTTTTGCACTGCAAGTGATCTTAACCTCAGCAGCACTTCGCAGGGCTCGGTGCTGAGTCCGCTCCTCTGCAATATCATACTACATTACCTCGACGAATTTGTGATGAAACTTCGTGATCGATTTAACGCACGTTGTGAACTTTTGTTCCTTTTGTGTGACAAGAAAGTTGTAATCTGTACCTCTTTCATTATTTAGGCCCTCAGCTGTTTAATCCATATCAAGTCAGCTGTTTTTATCTTTCCCTGTGTTGACTGTGTAGATGTGATCCACTTCCAAATGATGTCTGTCTTTCTACATCAGGTCTCTCAATACTATCATTGCATTCGCCATAGGTCGTGGATCCTCAATCTAACTATGATGCAGATTCTCAGACAAGCACTCCAATTCGAAAAACGTAGTCTAACAGTCTCCACCTTGAATCAGGCTATATTCTAAATCCATATTTTTATCCCGTCCCTATTTCTCCTTGTAATTATATATGAGGGCATGACCAGTAGCAATATGAAGTCTACGAACAACCATGCTACCTGATCATGGCGTGCCATTCATTGAGAAAAGTCGCACAAATCCAATAATTTCATCCAATGGCTTGGGACTGAAAGCTAGGTCAAAAGCTTATTTTAAGATTAAGAGTAAATTCAATACTCTAATGTATTAATATTATGTTTCGACAACGAGATTCATTGGTGACATATCAGCTATTGTGTCATTTCTACCTCCTAGTAGTACTCTTCATCTAGGCTGTAGAATCGAACAAGCTAAATATTGATTAATCCTAGAACAAGAGGTTACTTTCAATAGAAATCCTCCTTGAAAGTCACTTGTCCATAAGGATCAAGTATATGCTTCGTTATTCCATTGGATTGCTCTCGAGCAGGCTCTATATGCTACGTATAAGTTCTATGATAAGAAGCTAGCCATTATGGAAGAATTTCACTACATACACCTTTTTTAATTGCTACTGGTATAACGTACATGTTTATTCTTCATCTCATACTCGATGGGCTTCAACTTATTAAGTCAATGGACATTGTGAAAGTAACTCGCTCATAAATATACATACACACACACTTAACAGGAAAACTAATCTCTAAATGCTTTTATCAAACCTTCGGTTTTTCAGTTTGCAAGAGTGTATGAAACGCCCTTTTCTACGATATCCAGCGAGAACCTTTCTTGTCACCAGCGAGGGCATGCAAACATTCCAATGTATCTGCAGATTGTCACTTCTTATATGCCCACGTGCCAAACTTCCGAGATTCACTACCGAAAGTGCGAGCAAGAGTTTTAGGAGCTTTCGACGAGTGAGGAAAGAGCCTTAGCCTGAATGTACAACTTGCATGTTCTCTGATACGAAGGAAGGTCAAGGGTGCCCACAGATTAAACGACCAAAGTGGCAGACAGTCCTGTCAGAACATTGCGGGCTTTATGGCACGGGAGTTTTGAGTAGACCCAATCTGCTCTGACTTCACACGAAGCCTTTGCCACATATACACAAACACACACACACACTCTCTCTCTCTCTCTGTGTTGGAACAAGTTCGATGAGAGAATTGCGGAACAAGAGCTCTGGAACGACTGGATCATGGGCCTACCACAAGAGTTGACCCAAACAAAATGGCAACAAAGGATTCCACAACTCAGAGAGCCTCAGTCGGTATGCTCGGCTAGCCAAGCGAACGACCTTTCCGCCCACGAAGTCCGAACTGTGGGCATAGTCGCTCGGCATATCTTGCAGCATATGCTGTGAACTGTGAATTCTTCACTGGCTGTCAGCTCTATTCTGAATTCGCCACTGCGCCATTGCGAGCGATGCGCCTAGCGCAGAGCTGCGCAACACTGATCATGAGGCCCGGGCTGGACGTTCCCATCCTCAGCCGTATAAGACCTTACTCGAAACTCCATAGGCAGTATCGAGTTCGAGAATCGATCTACTCCCGCTTCCTACCGGAAGGCGAATGGATAGATTCCTGGCTCTCTAAAACGCACGCTCGGCCCCAGCTCAGAAGTGATCCAATTTGTACTCTGGAGTTGTACCTACCGCAGGGGAATGTCGTGAGGTAGATCCTGCCTGAGAGCTCCCTAGCATTCATTCAAATCAAGAATCTGGTGAAATTCAGATCTTCTGAGCTGATTCTGTGTTCCAGTCGACGGAGAAAGGATGGCAGTTCTCTCGGAGTATCTGTGGTTGGTCGTCGTAGGGGCATTCGTCGCCTTCGGTTTCGGATGGGGAACTGGTGAGTCACATAGTGCACAGGACAATGTGCCTGCCTTTCTTCTTGCAGTTGCTGTTCTCTAATCACCTGATGCCGAGGCGTAGATCCTAAAACGAGCTGTTAATATTTTCGTGCACGCAGGAGCCAATGACGTTGCCAATGCTTTCGGGACTTCGGTCGGAAGCAAGACTCTGACCTTACGACAGGCAGTCATTGTGAGTGTTTCGTCTTCTGCATGAGCACGATTGGTTGCTCCTTTTCGAGACTGTTCCATTTATCCACCGATGAATCGTTCAATGCTATCATTGTGACATCCATGAAAATAATCCCTGCATCTATGGAACTCAAATTAATCATCTTACACTATCTTGAGTCATGTACATGTCGATAGGCTCGTTTCCGAGCAACATACAGAATGTAATGTCGGGAATCCATGTTGATCTCAGATTGCGTCAATTTTCGAGTTTGCTGGAGCCTTGCTTCTCGGGCGAGTATCCACAAATACCATAGCATCAGGCATTGCTGACATAAGCTCATTCACTCGAGATCCAGAGGTGTATGCCTATGGAATGGTGTGCGCTTTGGGTGTCGGCACAGTGTGGCTCATCCTCACCTCTTACTGGGGTCTAAATGTGTCTTCCACTCACGCAATCAGTAAGTGCACTCAATAATATTATCTACAGTTCCTCTTGTAGGTGCCGATTGTCTTGACTCTGGATAGTTTCAAAGCCTGCATGAAAGAGCTCATTGTATTCCAATCATGGGGGCTGGAGTATCCCTCTGGGTACCTAATGAGCACCTCTTTCTTGCGAGGGTGGCATCTTCCAATTGGAACCAGCCGCTTGCGCTGAGATTTGTTCATTGTGCCCACGCAGTTGGAGGCATCATTGGATTTGCCTTGGTTTGGGATGGCACTGACGCAGTCGTATGGGCAAAGAAGGACCCTGGATCCTTCCCACCTTACAAGGGAGTGATTGCCATCGTCCTATCGTGGTTCATATCTCCAGTTCTGAGCGGCCTCGTGGCTGCACTCATCTTCTTCATAGTTCGAACTCTTGTCCTTCGTCAGAGAAATGCTTACGCTCTCTCTTTCTGGACTCTGCCTCCTTTTGTTCTTGTCACCACCTTCATCAACATATACTTCGTCTTGACCAAGGTACGTCATCGTGCCTAGACCTCTGGCCCCTTATCCTTTGCAAATTCAGATTCGCAATGACTAGAACGATCAGCGGAATTCTCAGACTGGATTGAGATTCCATTGAGACAATAATATTGACATCAAATCATGCGGTGGAAACTCGTTCTTTATGCAGGGTGCAAAGAAGACCCTCTCCTCCAGCGATAACTGGAGTGACTCCAAAGCTGCCTGGATTTCAGCACTCATTGCCGCTGCCGTAACTCTGATGTGCATCTTCATCGCTCTCCCGCTCCTGAAGAAAATGGCCGCTCGCCATTTCGACAGGTAGAAACATTGCTTGCCAACCAGACCTTACATCTTGATTGCCCGGACCAACTTGAAGATGATACTTTATGCTCAGAGAGTCGTGGAATTATGACATCATTCAGGATGAGGTAAATAAAAAGACATGCTTGAGAACTAACGAATGTGAGCGACATGTGCTTCTTCACTGGTGCAGTGGAGGCAATCGGATACTCGACGATACTCCTCTTCCAGTCAACAATGTGGAGAGTGCACATCCTCCCCATGTGTTGAGCACCTGGCAGAAATTCAGCAAAGCAGCAACTCACGGTCTGGACGTCGACATTCACAAGGTTGTGAAGACGGACGAGAAAATTGGGGACATGCATGAAGCTGCAGAGAAGTTCGAGCCGAGAGTGGAGTACGCATTCAGCTACCTGCAAGTGTTCTCAGCCATCTGCGTCATCTTTGCGCACGGTGCCGGTGAGGTCGGGTACATGGCAGGTCCTCTGGCCACCATCTGGGATGTCTACCAGAAGGGTCAGCTGTCCAAAAGTGTGACGCCTCCTGTCTGGATCGTGCTCATCGGTGCCTTCGGTCTCGTGATCGGTCTGGCGACTTACGGATACAATGTTACCCAAGCTATGGGTGTCAAGCTTGCCAAGCTCACTCCGACCAGAGGATTTGCAGCAGAGCTTGCCACTGCTTTCGTCATCATGATCGCGTCGCAGTACGGTTTGCCCACTTCCTCCAGCCAGTGCATCACTGGAGCTATCATTGGAGTTGGGCTGCTGGAAGGCGCAAAAGGAGTGAACTGGACGCACTTCGTCAAGCAATTTGCTTCCTGGGTGGCCACTTTGTTCGTCATTGGCTTCTTTGTGGCAGCTGTGTTCTCTCAGGGTGTCTACTCCCCCAGCAAGAATTCTGGCAAAGAGATCACCAAGTACGAGGATCGAGTCACCAATCTGACCACTCAGGTTTACAAGGACTTCAACTCCAGCCTCCAGAGCTACAAATCCTCCAGTGACGCCTTGGTTCTTACCAACCTTCCACCCTCAGTCTGGACGCAGCTCAATGATTCAGTCAACACCGCTGCCACCAAAGCCAAGAACTTGGTCAACCCGAAGAAATCTCAAACCGGTAAGTCATGAGGACTTTCTGAAAATTTCTGCACCTAATACTTATGATTGTGAGCTGGATTGATCAAGATTGATTCTTTGCAATCCATTGTGTGTGTTCTAATGTTTTTCTTGTCTGGATCGGCCCTCCAGCGGATGTGAACCAGATCATGTCATCTTTCTATGAATCACTGGGCCTATTACAAAATTACTCGATCTTCACGCTCGGTCAAAACACAATCTTCCCAGGGGCCACTGTCTGTATGGACCCTTCATCTACGAATGTTACGCAAGTCGCTTGCAAGGCTACGAAGCTTCTTCCAAAAGCATACATGAGCTGAGTGCAGCATTCCACTTTTTCACATCCATTGGTATATCAGTGGTGGACAAACACTTCTTATTCAATTGGTCGGTAAATTCTTTCGGATTCAATTGTACACTGATGTCGACAAGATGAGGTGGAACATTTTGATCCTGCAAGCTGATGGGTTTCAGTCATGACAATTAAGATAGCATTGATAAATTGAACAGCTATTCGCTAACTTACAGTCATCTAAGTTATGCAACTTGTGCAGCTCTAGACAGATAGTAGACACGCGATTTGATCTTGGATATATAGATAATGGGAGAAACATGTCATCTCCCATGATGAAGAGATAATATAGAGACTTAGCCTGGATCCAGTTTACATCAATTTGATAAACAATGAGAACATGAATTGAGTGCAATTCACGACGAGGAGGTTAAGGAAAAGAATGAATCTCTAAGCTGCAGGTTGTTGAGAACTAGGTGTGTACTTTGTACCTGGGAAGATGCAGACGAACCTTTCATCTCTTTCAGCTCTGGCTGTACATTACAGTGCACAGCACAAAGCTCGCTCCCACTCCTCATCTTGTAGATTATCAGTAATTATTCAATTATATGGCTTCTGCAGTAAAGAATTACCGCTTCTGCATGCCCTAAACTATGGATCAATTCACTCCACGTCCTTGACTCTGTATATGATGATTATTCTGGATTTATTTTCTGACAGTTTGAGCGATTGCGTCGGTTCTGTAAAGTTCACGACGAATCGCACGAAATCTCGATCAGATTGTATTGTAACACTCGTCATTCCATTCTAAGTATGCACGTTCTCAACGATTCAAGTCGGAAAGGTTTATGGATGTACATTTTCACTCATTGTTACTTCAAGCAGGGGCCATATCAATGCTTGTATTGTTTACAATTGTAATTAGTACATAGTAGAATTATTTGACGGTTGGATGCTTCAAATGAGACCCCAGGAATCCATACTCTTCACCGAATGTATAATTACATACTTTCAATTTACTGGAAGTCCATGCAAGTCATCATTGGCAACTGCTAAGGCGAGCATGCTAAGGCAGACATTCAATCAGATGAAATACGTCTGTGTCACTTTGAAATGTTCACGATATTTTTGTATGACATCGAGCCGTGAGATCCGGTGGGGCTTACGGCTGCGGGTAAAATTGAAATAAGATAAGTGAAACTGCATCTGGCCACCGAGTCCCGAACACCTTCCCTCAACCCACGAACACCGTCGACACAGTGGACTTCCAGTTAATCTGTTGAAATTCTATGCAGCCACTGTGGCAATCTCCAGGTTCATGGGCGAAATGAACAGTTAATTACGGCGCTTGTGGGATTAATCGTTAAAACACCAGTTTTGAAAGTAAATGGAAAAACAGCCGAGCAAATATTCGAATAGAAGTTCTGTAGCTCATGGAAAACAAGACATCGTTTGGGAATCTTCGAGCAAATGAAGACAACCTCCGATTCTGATGTGACGAGATCATTCTCAACGACCGCAGTCACAGATCCGCTGTGAGTCCGAAGGTTCTGGCTCTTTTCAGGAGATAAACGAGGCAGGCCCAAGTAGACCATGTAGGTCGCAACTCCACGACAAGAGAATAGAATAGGATACACAGAATCTCAAATCAAGAAATGATGATCCAAAAATTCTGAGCTCTAGTTTGAGTCCAGCATATTTGTTCCAGTACAGTACTTGCTCCAGTCGTGACGGTGACCTTTGCGAGAGGATTAGACATTTGGGTCCCGACGGCTGCAGCAATAGACCGAAAGATTAACCTGTCCATTAATTCCACTTGGCTATGGTGCTGCTGTTGTATATTATATTACACTTCGACGATCAATTAAAGTGACTAGCTTTCGGAGCCATGCTACTTTCGCTGACTTTGTCGTCTTCGTTAGCACATCATCTTATTCTCTCCAAGTTGTAAGGATTAGAAAACTGATATTTCGTTTGAGTGATGCAACTTTAGTGGCACGTACCTCGAGGTGAGACAGCAGCAAGAAGGAAGGAAGAACAAGAGAAGAATCTGATATAATATGTGTGGAGTATTTTCATTATACCCTGGAAAGCAAGGGAGGGGGCTGACTTCAGATCTAGTTGGTCCTTTCGTTTATTGTACGTCTCACTTGACTATGTTCATGTGTAAGTTATTTGGAGCTTGAGTGTATCCATGAAATGAATGGGGAATGAGGTCTTTTCAGGTTTTAGAAAACTGCAATGGCATTATCCCCTTGTCGATGATCAGCAATAAAAGATGCAACCCAATACTTTGATGTATGATTTCATCATACGTTTCAAGAATATCATGTCCTTTGTGTAACCTGACATATGACTGAGCCGTTAGAAAAGAGATTTCCATGACTCCAAAGAAGAGTTTTTCTCCTCTTGTGAGGTTATTGAAGTTCACTTATTTCCAAGACAGAGTCTGAGTTTATTATTATTATTTTATCAATTATTATGAATTATTATTATTTTCGATTTTCGGGTTTTGTTTTATTATATACATTATTTATTGCCCTCAATTGATGACCGGGATTTATAGAATTTATTAATATTGAGTATATTTAGCCGAGATTAGATACAATTGCTCAATTCTACACTAAAAGTGGTTTCTACTAGTAAATGGGAAGCTTTAAAAATATAGCCTCTGACTTAGCCCTTGTACAAGTATTCTGTGCAGATCATCCAGAAATATAACGTGATATAATTTTTATATACTTCTGTTACAGAGACAACTAGCCTCGCTTTTTGCGCGTCAGAAATTCGATCGGTACAAACGATCCCAATTAAAGACCAACAATGTAACTTTGCACGATTCCGTTATCACACGTCCTATGAGTTGCGGGACAATTAGACTCAAAACATAATTTAGGTATATTTGAAGCGATTTAAGATTATAACCCCTAAAAGACTAAGTTCGCGATTTGCAAGTAAAACTACGGAAGGAAAAAGACCAATTAGGGGCTTCTTAACATGAAGAAAATAAAATTTACGGCAACACTTAATGCCCCAATGTTTTTTCGTAAATGGCTATTATTATCATTGAAATATAGAAAGTGATACCTTTTAAGTTTACCAGATGTCATCTAACATTACGACTTCTGATTAATATCTTGCAATTCATCTAGAAATAAGTTCAGGAAAGTAGACGGATATATATTAACACCACTACTATTGATTGTGCTTGACAATAGTGTAGGGATATTTTATCGAAAGCAAGTATTTGTAGTGAAATGATTCTCAGAAACTATAGTCATGTACATTTTCATCAATATGAGAATATGGACTAAAGAATTGACATCATTTGAAACTACGACACTCTATACATTTAATCCTCGTCATTTTTTCTCAATACTTAGCTTATGAAATGGGTTCAATACTACGAGAAGTTTCGTCACATGAGTGTTGAAACTACTAAACTAAACAAATCACTCGCAGTAGGAAGAATAAGTGATCATATCTAACCCAGTTTAAGTGAGAAGGCGAGAACAGTTCCCAAAGCTCACACATTTCTAGTTTAGTCACACAAGAATGTATTTGCAGTTGAAAGAAAATCTCGGTAGAATGGAGCGTGGAGAAACACAATCAACGAGATCTAGAATCAAAAGTTTTGAAGTGAGAATGTGGAACTAAGAAACATCAAAACCGTGAGTTCTCAAAGAATCAACATAAATTGACAAGTTTTGCTTGTTTTTCGAAGTGAATGAAACTTCAGTGACCTGTAAACCATCGAAGCTTGACTAGAAACTCCCTTTTTTGAAGCGAGTCGAAATCTAGTCTAGTTTGGAAGGGCGAACATGTCAGTAACTCGACATAATTACGCTAATTACTTGCGCCAGATCCTCATCGGAGGAGACCTTTGAGCTATGCACTCTGTGCCAAATTTAAGTGCGGCTGAAACTCACGGGAACGATTGCCTTGCGATTCGATTCCCCGATTAGAATGATGTCAGCTGTTCACAAACTGGAGTCGGATCTGCTCCCGCTTTTCTACATGCAGTAGTTGCACGAGCAAGTGGTGGCTGCTGCTGCCTCGGGACATGGAGATTGCGAATTTCAGTTAGTCTAAAAGGGCCATCCAGGTCCGCAAACACAGTCCGAGACCTGGAACCTCACCTTCCATCATCACTGAGCTCATTCGGAATTGATCTGGATCCATAATGGTTTGGCAAACTAGCCATAGCCGCAGCCTTCCTGTCTTCTAAAGCCCCTCTACCAGCCAGCTTTCGCCTTTTTGCCCATCAAATCTTCAACTCATGTCCGAAGCAAATTTCAAAGACCTGAGTTTGCTGTCAGTAGCTCTTGTTAAAGCTCAGAGAGCAGCACTGAGCCGTCGGGATCCGATATCTGATAAGGTTCGTCAGTCGAATGAATCCTCGGTCGACTAATTTCGATAAAGCTTGATTTCAGCTGCAGCTGAGGCAGCTTCGCTCGAGAGGCTAGAGCATGCGGCCTCTCTAGCCTCAAATCCGAATTACCACCGGACATGTGAGCTAGCCATTTCGATCTGACGAGTTGTCAGAAAGAACGTACCCTGCAGCACAGAGTGTCATCAAGGCTGTTCTGGCCGAGTGAGCATGGCTCGTTGAGGTCGGCACGATTGTAGGCTGTGGCCTCGGCTGGTTCAATGGAATGAATACTTTGGCTTTGGATACCCCCACCGCCATTAGAGAGACTATCTTTCATAGAAGTTTTGAAGGCGTTCGCTCGCTGATGTACATGTGGTGTGCTGAAGATCTTCTACCTCTCCTTCGCAGAATCAAATGAACTTGCGAACACATCTGGTACTTTTATTGCTAGCCAATCTTTTGTTCTGAGGCACGCAGTCATTGTAAGTGTCATCGTCCTAGAAATGCAACAGATTACCTGAACTCCTAATCATGTTTCCCATTGTAAGTGAACTTGCTTTCCTGACATATACAACTGGTGGCAACTTTGCGCTTGCGAGGTGATCAGGTGATGATTGCAGCTAAAACTGCCTGTCATGACTGATTGGATGTTGACAGTTTGTCGGTAATCTTTGGTTAAGACAAATGTCTTGGAATACCATAGCTTGTGGCATTGCGGACTTTAAATCCTTCAGCAGAGATTCAGAGTTCTCTGCGTGAGGAGGGGTTTGTGCCGTGGGGTGTGGGAACATCTTGGTTCACTTTCACTTGATTCTGAGATCTGAATGTGGCCTCCAATCATTCTATCTGTAGAACTTCACTCCACTCACCATGCCAGTGTAGCTCCTTATGAGTATTGAGTTGATTATGAGCTTCGGGAAATCAGAGATGTCATGTATGACGTCCAGACAGAAGTCTGGACGTCATACATGACATCTCTGATTTCATGAAACCAGAAATTTCATTTCATGCTCATGATTCTGGATTTCTTGCTCACAATCATCGTATCCGTTTTGGTGTGTGTTGGCACGAAGGCAGTCATCTGGTCAAAGGGCAATGGATCCTTGCCACCAAAGGAATGGACTGGTTGCCATCATTCTCAGTGGATTGACAGCACCCTTCATTCTTCGTCGTGCGAACTCTTGTGCTTCGACTTCCAAATCCATACACTCCTTTCATGCTCGTTACCAGTTTCATCAACATGATCTTCTTCTTCACAGAGGTCTGTAACGGAATACTGGCTCAATCTTTATAAGCCTGATATGAAGTTCACAGTTTAGGCACCATGTGGAATAGTTTGGTTGAATGACGAAGCTCGACTTTAAACAGGTTCGATTCTTTTGCACATCAGAGCTTTAAAAAGAAGACTAGTTCATCCAGCGATGATTGGACGATTGGACGGACGCCAAAGCTGCCCAAATTTCCGCTCTGATTGCTGTTGGTTTAATGTTTTTGTGCATTTTCGTTGCTCTAACCGCTCTACGAAATATGGAAGCTCGGCAATTCGACAGGCTAACTTCTATATGGCTGTAAGTCTTTGAATAGAAAGTAGCAATAGTATTCAGAAGTTGGAATCTATGTTAACATGTTTACAATGAATGGTGTGAACAAACTGACGTCTCATTAATTGATGGAGTGATGGAAATTATATAGTCCAAGACACACCGATCGATTCTTTGCCATCTTGAATGCGAGTCTTCCGATCCTCTTGAAATCCAGAGCACCTGCCAAGTATCCAGCAAAGTAAGAACGCAAGGTATACACGGGATCATCCATAAAAGTGTGAGAACGGATGAGAAGATTGGGGACATGCACGAAGCTGCACAGAGGGTGTATGCCGAAAGCTACCTCCAAGGTTTCTCTGCAATTTGCGCTATCTTCGCGTATGGTGACGGTAAGGACGGTGAGATGCCAGGTCCATCAGCTGCAATCTGGGATGTTTACCAGAAGGGGAAAATCTCAAAGAGCGTCATCCGATTGTACTGATGGGTGCTATCGGTTTGGCTTCTTCTGGCTCAGCATCACTCAGGCCATGAGTATAAGCTTCACTTCAACCAGAGAATTTGCTGCAGAGAAAGCTTCCTTCATCATGTTCGCTTCTCAATATGGTCTCCCATGCTTCATACAGCCAGTGCTTTACTGGTCCTACCATTGGTGTCGATATGAAGAAAGCTGACAACGGAGTGAATTGAACTCATTTCCTCTTTGGACAGAAATTCGATTGCGCTTAACTTGAAAAACTTGTCTGAAAGTGATCGTTTGGATGCTAAGGTGATCAAACCAGTGACAACAGGAACGACCGCTCTACAACCATTGCTATGTGCTTCTCCAGTACGTATATCTGACTAGAAAGTACACAATCTACTAAGCTGCTTTCCAGAACTTCAGTACTGCCTATCTATTCGATTGAAGTGGTTGAGCACCTTGATCATATAACCACTATCACCAGCTCTGCGCTCAAGGCATGAATCTCCTTATTTCTTGTAGATCCAACGATACTCCAGAGCTATCTTTGCGATGACGTTGCTATTGATGATCACTGAAGTAAATGAGCCATCGATGTGATTGTTCTCCTTGACTATAATATCAATTAGTACAAGAAGGCAATGCACTCCACTCAGATCTGTTCTCAGATCCGTTCTTACTTATATTCTTCAGCAACTCCGAAGAAAATTTACTTGATGTCCTTGTTCCTTCCAAAAACAGTGAAGAATGTGCTCAAGTCTTGCATAGTGCATTTTCAGTAACAATGTCTTGAACCAAAAATACATGTCATTATGGACTTAGAGGTTCCAAACATGTAGCTTAAATGGGTACTTATAAGTCAAGCGTTACAAGAACCACAATGTAATGATTGATCTGTTATGGAGTGAAATGACTATAGTAGACATGCTCTCTCTAGAATAAGCTACACAACATACAACAGCGTTCTACGACTTGTCATGACAAATGAGAGTATTTACTAGGATCTAAATAACGGATTGAAAGAAGGGAGCAACATACATCCTTTCCTCAATGTAATCCAAGGTCGGAGTAACCCCAAAAAGAATCTCTTAAAATTACCCAATAAATAAAACCTGCTACTGGTTTATATCACATGTCTCTCCACCTCTGTCTTGGCTGTCGTACAATGGAAAAGTGTTTGGATGAAATTGGAAACTTTGCCTCGGAGCATGGTCTAGATTTGGGTGGTGCTGTGGGTTTACCACATAGATTTGCAAACAATGACTAGCCAAAGAATAACCAGGACTTAACAGAATCACCGATGGATAATATTTCTCTCTTGTGGCCACTTGTTCTATTGGACCCAGTTGAAATGTATTGTAACACCTAAGACAAAGCAGAGCTGGAGTTCATTGTCATTTTCCTTGATATGCCGGAACCATGGATTATCTTGCTGGTAGTGCGGGGGATCTGTAAATAATTTAGTTAATATTCGATATTAGCTCGTCATGCCGCTGTCAAAATAAGCGACCGTCTAACGAGAGCATGGGCGAAGTCCTTCTTTCAGCCTTCAGAGCAGGCTGTGCTTCCAATTCTGCCCAACGAGAGAGCAAGGCATTAAGCTGTGAAGGCACGACTGACAATCACTTGCCGATTCCAACGCTGAATATGAGAAATTCGACGGTTGGTGACTGAAGCAGTACCATAGTGTGGTGGACTACATGCTCACCTGATGGATCCGTCCAAACATTCATGACCAGCTTCCATCTGCTGCCTGCGCCCCCTTCGAGCCGTGGCTGTCCAACAGTGAAATCTACTCACTTCCCACTTTCAGAGCAAACAGCTCGCCTCGAGTCCACCCAGCTCAGCTCAGCTCAGCTCAGCGAGTTACTGCGCTAGGTTCGAGAGTCCAGTGTCTTGATCAGCTGTTGCAGTGCGTGTGAGTGATGATTACCAAGTAGGAGGCAACCTTTCCGCTTTCGATTGCTTTCAGCTGAATGTCGACAACCACACTGGACTCACTCCAGCAGAATATTCGCATTTCCCTCGTGATTCCTCTATGGTTGAAGGCCATAGATGCTGCTTGTAAGCACGTCCTCGATGCACTTTGTCCGTTCGGGTCAAATCTCAGGGACTGCTGCAGCCTTTACTTAAGGAGGGAGGCTACTTATGGTTGTGCGCTCCTTCAAATGCGGCAGATTCTGAGTCAAAAAGTGCTCGTCGCGTGGGTTCAATGGTGCTTTCGACTCTTTCCGAGAATGGAAGAGGGCGTTATCCAGAAAGCTTGGGCCTCCGTACCCAGTCCAGAGACCGGCGTCCATGAATATGTCGAGTGATTCCTGTGACATGATTTGTGTACGAAAGGCGTCCGTGTCTAGAGGGTCGGCCCCAGTCATGGCCCACACCAGTGGACCCAACAGAGGACGAGGAGGCTGCCAGCCGAATCTTACAGTAGCTCTCAGGGGCTTCCTGGTTCGGTGGAAAGCTGCCACTGTTGGCCTCCATCGGTCGGCATATCCTTGCGGGATATGCCGAAAGATTCGAGCTCCATGCCACTGTTGTTGTAGGACGACAGTGTGTACGAGCTCGAACGTAGCGCTGACTTTCGACGAGCTATGGAATGAACCTCGACACTTGAGCCCCGAAGAGCTAGGCCCGACGTAAGCTCAAGGTATGCCTGCTCTGTATATAACCCAACAGATGACGCATTCCTAATATCACCGATCGATCGCTGGAAACCCCTCGAGCATCGCTTTCATTCCGAAAGCGAGTGGATACGGAGTTGTACCTCGATTGAATCCGTACCACAGCCAGGTACGCCTGAAGCAGATGACACCCCGACCTTGAATCTTCGCACCGTACTTAAATTCTCCGTGCAGAGAAAGGTCTCTGCGGGATTCAGGTCCGAGCATCTCGACTGGCTTCACTCTGAGACTAGTCTACAGACGAGGTCATCATGGCGGTGCTCGATGAGTACTTGTGGCTCGTGGTTGTCGGGGCCATCGTGGCTTTCGGTTTCGGTTGGGGAACTGGTACGTCCAGAAAATGATTTCTCATTGGCCACACATCGTCTGCTCTTCAGTTTGTACTCTTGTGTTAGCTCAGAAAAGTCATGGGTTTACATCCCCATCCCCATGCAGCTCACACCTTTCAGCCGTCCTCACTGCATCCAGAGCATTGGGCTTCTCGACATGACTTTAGAAATCTGCTGCTTATCTGAATCTCCGATGGCATGCATAAGTTGCCAGAGTCGAATTCGGGGTTACTGAGTTTGGTTGAGTCCACCCATTGTGTGCAGGGGCGAACGATGTGGCCAATGCGTTTGGAACCTCGGTTGGAAGCAAGACGCTTACTCTTCGTCAGGCAGTTATTGTAAGCAGCCAGCCATGTAATCTATGGAAATTAATGGCATGGGTCAATTCGAATTTTCTGTGCATTACTCAGAGGAACAGGACTCGAAAAGGAATCCGGAAGCGGTATATTTACTTCTTCCTGGAATTTGCAGATTGCCTCGATCTTCGAGTTCGCCGGTGCGCTTCTGCTGGGACGTGTATCGACAAACACCATCGCGTCTGGTATTGCAGATATCAACTCATTCGCTCGAGATCCCGAAGTGTACGCCTATGGAATGGTCTGTGCCCTCGGTGTCGGCACAGTCTGGTTGATTCTCACTTCATACTGGGGTCTGAATGTGTCATCCACCCACTCAATCAGTAAGTTTTCCATGACAGATCCAATTAATCAGAGGTCCAAATTAGTCAGTCGATTCAATTGCCTCAAAGTTTTCTTTTATGCAGTGATTATTCAATGGAGGCGAAGGGATTTGCATGAATCAGCTCGATCAGACCCTGACCCCAGAGAAGCATAAGGCGATTATTAATAATCTTTGCATTGATTTCGACTACCATGAACTTGTGGCAGTCGGTGGAATTATCGGATTCGCTTTGGTTTGGGACGGAACTGACGCCGTCATCTGGGCCAAGAAGGACTCGGGTTCATTCCCACCATATAAGGGAGTCGTTGCAATCATCCTGTCGTGGTTCATCTCTCCGGTGCTCAGCGGTGCTGCAGCAGCCTTCATCTTCTTCATCGTCCGGACTCTCGTGCTCCGCCAGCGCAATGCCTACGCCCTGTCGTTCTGGACTCTGCCTCCCTTCGTCCTCATCACCACGTTCATCAACATGTACTTCGTCTTCACTAAGGTTCGCTCTCTCTCTCTGTCTACAGCCGTCGACACATCACGATTTGATCGCACTTCCATTCGCAGCTGCTGCCTCTATAAAAAGATGCGGACATTTGTCAGGCGCAATGTTTTGTGGTCTTATCTTGAGCGGACCCTGACATTTAGCAATTGGTTCTTGCAGGGTGCCAAAAAGGCCCTGTCCAGCAACGACGACTGGACGGACGCCAAAGCCGCCTGGGTGTCGGCAATCATCGCAGCAAGCGTCACGCTGATCTGCATCTTCGTTGCCCTCCCGTTTCTCAAGAGGATGGCTGCCCGTCAATTCGACAGGTACTGTGTTCCATCCATGTCCCAACACCAGCATCATAATTCTCACCAGTGCAACATCGTCACTGCAGACTTCATGTTTCCCGGACGCAGATTGTAATCTGAGAGTGTCGGATCGTGCCTCCATCGAAGCTGATGGTTGTTGTGATGGTGCTATTTGTTGGTTGGTTGGTTGGTTACAGTGAGGGCAAGCGAATCGTTCGTGACGTTCCACTTCAGATCGTGAACAATGATTCTGCGCCGGAGGCATTGACGAACTGGCAGAAGTTCAGCAAGGCAGCCACTCACGGGCTGGACGTGGACATCCACAAGGTGGTGAAGACGGACGAGAAGATCGGAGACATGCACGAGGCCGCCGAGAAGTTCGAGGAGCGCGTCGAGTACGCATTCAGCTACCTTCAGGTGTTCTCAGCGATCTGCGTCATCTTCGCCCACGGGGCTGGAGAGGTCGGGTACATGGCAGGCCCCTTGGCGACCATTTGGGATGTGTACCAGAAGGGGCAGCTTTCCAAATCAGTGACGCCCCCTGTATGGATCGTGCTGATCGGTGCGATCGGTCTCGTCATCGGCCTGGCTACCTATGGCTACAATGTCACGCAGGCCATGGGTGTCAAGCTCGCCAAGCTCACTCCCACACGAGGATTCGCTGCAGAGCTCGCCACGGCCTTCGTGATCATGATCGCCTCGCAGTATGGTCTGCCCACGTCCTCGAGCCAGTGCATCACAGGAGCCATCATCGGCGTGGGGCTGCTGGAGGGAGCCAAGGGAGTGAACTGGACTCACTTCGTCAAGCAGTTCGCTTCGTGGGTCGCCACTCTGTTCGTCATCGGCTTCTTCGTCGCCGCCGTCTTCTCTCAGGGCGTCTACGCCCCGAGCAAGCTCGCAGGCAAGGAGATCACCATGTACGAGGATCGTGTCACCGAATTAACGACTCAGGTCTACCAGGATTTCAGCAGCAGCCTGCAGAGCTACAAGACTGCCAGCGACAATTTGGTTCTCGCCAACCTCCCTCCCTCCGATTGGGCCAATCTGAACGAGACTGTCGCCACCGCTTCCACCATCGCCAAAAATTTGGTCAACCCCAAGAAGTCTCAGACTAGTGAGTGGATCCGTGTGCCAAGGCGAATGTCAACTACTCAGAGTAGAATTCTGGTTGGCAATTGTCGCATGCTTGCAAGACAGTGTGCTGAATCGATGCTTTAGGATGTGGTCTAACAAATTCTTCGTGTTGTGATGAATGTTGCAGCCGATGCCGACCAAATTCTGGCTTCGCTCTACAAGTCCTTGGCTCTGCTTCAAAACTACACGATCTTCACTTTGGGGCAGAACTCCGTGTTCCCGGGAGCGGAGATTTGTATAGACCCGGCAGCTTCAAACACGACGATGGTTGCTTGCAAAGCGCCTACATTGCTACCGAAAGCATTGGCCAACTGATGAGGCGAGAATCAGATTCTCAGCAGGAAGTTCATTCCATTTATATGCCTCAGAGTGCTGCTCCACATCTTCGAGTGTCTTCACTGGATATCGATCGTCGTGGAACCTTTCTCCAGCTTCGATGGCCGAGACGCTTTCGTCTCGTTCCATCTCCCACAGACTCAAGCCTTTTTATTCTTCTTCAAGGTTCAAGCTCTGTGACTGTCACGATCAAGCAGTCAGCCATCTTCCAGGCGACCTCGGCATTGCTGCTTCAGATCCACGAGACCATTTCCTGAGATTGAGGTTTGTATGAATGCAGTTTCACCTGAAATTAATCTTCTACGAGCGGCTAGCGATGCCTTGTACAAAGATTCACCTGCTGCCTACTGCTTCAAGGATTACCTGCAACGCCGCTCTTTTCGAGTACCTTCAAAAATTTTGATGTACGGAGGGATGACTGGAAGCGAGATTGGATCATTGGAGTTTTAGGAAATTGGTCAGCAATAGTTACTGGTTTGCCATCTTTGCAGATTTTAATGCAATTAGCTGACTTTCAGCTTCCTGTCAATATTCGCATGTTGATCACGGAGTGATCAACATCGACGGAGAGTTGGAGTAGTGCTGAAATCCTGTTCAGAGCTTTTTCTGAGCAGTTAGGGAGTTGTGATTTCATCGCCCCAGCAACATGTTTAGGTTTCATGTGGGTCAAGCTTATGCTTCCCATGACATAGATTTACAGCCTGTACTTTCATACAAAATAAAATTAACTGAATCATTCAAAATATACTCGTCTTCTCTATCGTTGGACCCACTCGAATTCGCACTACCGCTTAATTCTCTTAACATGAAAATCAGTCAAAGACCAAGTCCAGGTTTCATTACATGGTTCACTTTCTTCTAGCTCTCTCCATGTTCCCATCGCTGACCATTGATTTGGTAAGGATCTGGTCACAGGCACAAGCGTTGTTTCACTCGGTGCTCGACTGTTTATAGTTTGATCCACATTCTATAGCAAAGAAGGACGGGAGTCATCAAGTTTTACATGGATGAAATCAAGGTGGTAAGTAAGATGTGGTATGTTCATTTTATCTTCTCCATGAAAGGGGCCAATCTTGCCGCCACATTTTGGTAAAGTATCATGTTTAAAATATCTTTTGCTTAAACTATTCAATTACGAATCGAACAACTGATGATTGAGCTCGTTTCCGATGTTGCTTCCTCGAGTCTGAACATTCAAACACATGTTGCAGCAATGGTACAGAAGGAAGTCTTCATTAGAACCAACTCGTCCATCGTTCTTAGAGTAAGAAGGCTAGCAATTACTGATGCAAAAGCCTACAAGAAGCTTGTTCAGGAGAAGTGGATACAAACAACGCTGTCACCGGATGATTTATTGTTCCAATAATGATCACAATTATGAATTGTGATGATTATTACCACAAGCAAGGCTAGGATACAATGAGCTCATGAGGTTAAAAAACGTTCTACTTTGACCTCGTGTCATCGACGCACTGTAGGAGCCTAAGTTTGTCTGCTTGTCGACTTCAGATGTATGTTCTCGGCAATAATTCATCCGTCAGTGATCGTATTGCATCTCACTCGATGCATGATGTCGTATGTTTTTCATTTGGAGCATACGATCAGGTCAAAGATCACGGTGACTGTAGCAAAGTTTGACCGGGAGGTAAAATTATCAAGTGGAACTGCAAATCAAAAACTTGGATCCACTTGGCCGCAATTATCGACTAAATTCCTGGAGTACTTGAAGGGATAATATACAACTTATTTGCACGATTTTCAAGCCGCAAGCGAATGCATATTATGTCAGATTTGCTCTATAAGACTCAGACTCGACAAGTATTCAGATTCGATGTAAGGTTGCTGAATTGAACCTATCCTGGAAATCGATTCTGTTTCTCTGAGCTGACTGACTCCAATCCTTGATCGAAAGGATTAGAGTGATTCAATGCTGATTGATGTGTTTGTTGGTGATCGCCATAAGAATGTCTCATTCCTCCTCTAGCATCACGTCACAACGTGGTCATCAGAAGTTTTAGACTCAGGCACTATGTGTGCTTATTTGGCTTTACGGGGTCTCACCGTTGTTTCCTGTGCGGCTTGTCCAATCTAGTGGACGCCTTGTAAGAGAAATAGACAAAGAGCAAGTGCAAGTCGGTGGTTCGTTCTGAGGCCTTGGAACGAGGGAGATGACATTATCCTGATGGCCGATGGGGATGGCAATGTTTCAGTTAACTGAAAACTACAGTAAGAGCTAATGCGATGCATCTGATACATTTCCGATCATGTGCCGTTAAGAGGCGAGACGATTTTGGGATCACACCCACAGATCAACTTCGTGAATGGCATTCGAAAACGCCTCGGGCTGAGCTCTGTACTGAGGATCTAACCACGCACAAGAAACTACTGGCTGCTTTCCCATATCATGACCTTTGTCCTAAATACACTTTCTCTACATTGCTACAGAATCTGCTGATCTGACTCAAAGTGCAGGCAGCTCTTCCTCGTCCTACCCAGGAGAATCGTTTCATAACAACTTCTAATTTGTCTTACTTCTAACATTCTCCCGAATGGAAATCCGTGAGATGCACCAGTTGATTGGCACATGGATGATTTCTTCGTCTATCTTATCTCATTAATTTTCTTTTCCCCAAGGCCTGCAAACCTTGGCTTCTTCTTTTCATTGACATTCCACTTTACCCTTCATCTTTTCATTGAATTTTATTTCTTCACAGAAAATTAATGAGATAAGATAGACGAAAATATTCATCCATGTGCCGATCAACTGATACATATCACGAATTTCGAGTCGTGAAAACGGTTAGCAGTAATGAATAGAATGGTGAAGATATAGAGCCGGGGAGACCTGGATTTCTTCCTCCTGGAAGCTGATCGGTTGAAAGCTAAATCGTGCAATGCACAATATCCGGCCATCAGGGACGAACAGAGGAGCCCACGAAGGGGCCAACAACGTCCTGAGTCAAGTGCAAATATAGTCGAGGAACACAATCGTACCTGGAGCTGGCTACGCTTGGACGGTATGTATCCTGCGGAGTGCACGACGAGCATTTTCGATACTATATATGCCTCTGTTCCAGGTGCTAGTCCTGACTGTAGAACGCCATCATTTGCTGAGGGAAAGGCGCAAGCCTCTACAGGGGACAAAGGCACATTCTGATCCTGTTCTTAAACAAATTATTTTATTACATCTCTTTGATACTTTCATACTGTTTGTTTCTTAAAGTCAGGATTCATAAATGTTCATTTTTCTATTTCTAGGTTTCATACATTTAGATTATGCTTCTATGTTCCAGAATGTAATGAATGTGTGATAATAGAATGAATATAATCATAACATTGATATGTACATAAATCCTGTTGAAATTTTTTTAAGAATATTGATCAACCAAATTCAATGAAAGCAAAGAGTTTAGTAATAAATTTACATATCTTCACATCTTGATGGAATATTTACCGAAATCAGTTTATAATTCGACATTTAGCGAGATTGCCTGAATAAAAATCCAGCTACTGGGAACTACGTTACACGAGTGGTAAATGAGATACCAGATTCAAGAACCAGGGTTTATCTTCTTTTTATTTATGCGAAGCATACTTTAATCAACCTTTTTATACAATTTTGTTCTCCGTTTGAATCTAAGTTACAGATTTTGGCATTCCCGGGAAGAGAAGATAATATAATAGTTTGTGGTGTCGAAGAAAACAGCTCGAAATGTTGTATCTCATGATCCGATAGAGCCGACATTTATGGATTTGATTAATAGAGAACTTGTCTACAAGGTGAGTATTTTAAGTTCTATATGAGATTTCTTTTGTGAAGACGATCCATTTTCTGATTCATTACTCTAGATACTCTAGTTTCTTAGCCCAAAAATTGTCAAGATCCATATTTATAGTATCACACATGGAAAGATACATAGAATGTCACCATTTGAATACGTCAATTCCAACTCCTATTTTCCTGTTTTAACATAAAATACATTATCTTCAAACGTTACATGGATGTATGCTGAGCACATTACAACACTCTGTATCACTTCAACGAAACACATAATATCTATATATACATACATATTTCCAAAAAAAAATCTTTAGTTTTCAATCCAAGTTACTTCATTCCTATTTGACAGTGTTGTTGAAGTATTGAATAAAAAGCAAAGTAAAAGAAAAATTACTGAAATAAGTACTTTAAAATAATTGTATCATGCATGCATCTCCAAAAGTTTTCTTAATGCAGAGATAAAAAAAAATTCTTTTATTCTTTTCACTGAAATCAAAACTGAAAATTTTGTTCTGTTATTCTGAAAATTCTTTGTCTATCTGATACTTGTAACATGCTTACAAGCAAAAGCTGATATAGAGTTAAATCTCCCAATGGTGTCACCTCGTATGAGTGACATAGTCTCATTAGTAACGTAAAATTCCAGAACCACTAGTTTCTAACATGTAAATCTGCTCAATAAGAACGGTATGTCACTATTTCTAATAGTGATGTGATATTTTTCAATAGTGCTAATTTCAAGTGTAATTTGGGAGCAAAAATTCCTATCATGATCACAATACATAGCTATGAGACTAAAAAAATGTGGCATAAGTTTATTTTGAGGTATAACTCAACAATTCACTTTTTTTGGGCTTTAGTAAAATAATTTGTTACATATATTACCATCAAATTTTTTCACTCAAATTTTTGTGTATTAATATGAATTCAAACATAATTATAATTGTTATATTAATCGTCGTGAACAATTCAGATGTGCAAATGAAGACGATGTTTTAGGATTGATATAATGTAGGACAAGAAATATATGAGCTTTTTTTAAATAATTGACAACTTTCAATAGTGACATCTAACCCCAACACCAATGTTTGTTACTATTAGGAGGTAATATTAAAATTACGCACCTCCCAACAATGACATTCAATTCTAGCACCAATGTATGTTACTTTTAGTAAGTTATGCGCACTTTACTCTTGTGAATTACAATTCGCAATAGTGATATAAAACCCAAGTACCAAAATATGTCATTATTTGAAAGTTTAACTCTGTATATAAAAGTGGGTTATTGGACCTTAATTCCACATCAACACTAATTAAACCACCGTGAACTATGCCATCTTCAAATAACGCCTTCCATATTTTTAGGCATTTATGTTTCCATTCGCCACTGACATGGATACGAAGAAGAAGACAGAGATTCTACACATGCAAGAATCACTATTCAGATCTTGTATCTTATTACCATGTTGAGTCCGTCGCACTTATCAAAACAACAGTTTTCAATACATTTGCAGCTGCAAACTAATTTTAATAATTCCATCAATGCGGTAATCCTCTCTATCCTTCATCATTTTTTTCCATCCACATGATAATGGGAGGTTCTTCACATTTTCTGACTAGTTGGTGCCTCTATCTTACCTCAATTTCAGGTTCCAAACAAAGTCAGTAGTTCTGTCACAAGCGTATGGTGTTGTATGTGGTAGGCAAGTTTCATGAAGTGTTATAAATCCAGCTTTTAAAAGTGGAAGTCTCTCATGTAGGAAAAGAATGTCGCTTCCACTATTTCAAAATGAAATGTTTTTATGAGTATATATCGAGACTCCTATAGTCCTTCCGACTAATCCTCCCCGCAGTATTAAAATCTCCCTGGAGCGAGGAGGATACTTTAAAAGAGTTCAAGGGCATCTACCTAAAATGGCTTATC